TAAGTGTCTGAGGATGACTTTGAACTCAGCTCCTCCTGACTCCAGGGCCCATGCTCTATCTACTGCTATCTTACTCGTTATATCTCTTAATGTTTCTATCCTTCAAGGCTCAAAAAAAGTGCTAAGGACGACAAAGTGCCTGCCACCTGTTAACCCAGCCCTTATCCCCCCTGTTGCTAGTGTCGTCTCCTTCAGAAATTACTTTGTATTTCTTTTGTTACCTATTTTGCATTTGCTCATCTGTGAGCCTTTTGTTTCCTAGGAATAAGGTTGGAAGTTACTTAAGGGTAGCAACTGTTTTGTCTTTGCATTCTCTAGAGCCTAGCAAACTGCCTGGCATATAGTGGGCTTTTAATAAAGGCTTGTGGAGACCAGAGTAATAGCCATAGAACACGAATGAATACAGTTTTAATGTTGGTTAATAATCATCCTATTCTAGACATATGGGGGATTTACATGTCCCACACAATCTTTCATACCCTTTTTTTTTAAAGGGGAGAATAATAATTATTCTTTAAAACCATGAATCACAAATTTGTATGAGGTTGTTTGGACCCTTCTCCATAATTGCTGTTTAAATAGTGATAAAGATGACCATTCAGTTGTGTATTGCTATAATTTCTTCCCTCCTAGCATCTGGTACAAGCCCTTGCCTATAGTAGATTGTAGATCTGAATCGAATTAAGTGAAGTTCTAAATCAGAGAAAGCCCCCATCAACCTAGTAGTACTGCTACCAGCTGAAATGTTTTTCATTGTGGTTTTAAGGTTTACAAAATGCTTTACATATATTATCTCATTTAATAATCACAGGAGCCCTGTGAGATTACTAGTTTTTATTCTTCCCATTTTACAGAGGAGTAACTTGAAGTCCAGAGTGACTTTTTATGACCAAACAACTGTTAAGGGATAAAGCTGGAATTTGAACCCAGGTCTTGTGATGGACCACCCTTTCTTCTGTGCTGTATTTTCTCTTTAAAGGAGGTAGAGGTTTCATGTTGTTGTTTTCAAAGAGGACCAGTGATACCATGGCGGTGAAGAGGTTTCATGTAATAATGATAATAATCACTGCTCACATTTTAATAGCGACTTGTGGCATTACAGCTTGAGAGGTATCTATCATCATCATTATTATTATTATTATCTGTATCATCATCATTTTAGAGTAGAGGAACTAAGGCCCAGAGAAATTAATTTTATATACTATGTATAATAATTAACATGTTAAATTTACATATCGTGCAAAGGGCACTTGATCTGGTGATGGAGTTCTGGATTCTTTTCTTGACTTTTCACACAGTACTCTGTTCCTTGCAGGCACTGCTTATCATCCCACCTTCTGCAAGAAGCCTTCTCAGTCTTCCTCCATCTTCTGCTTTCTTGCCTTCCCGCCAGATTATCTCCAGTTTAACCTCTCTGTATCTTGTTCCCCTCCTTCTCTAATAGACTGTGGGCTGGAGGGCAAGGAGTGTCTTTTGTCTCTCTTTGTTATCTCCAGGCCTAGCCCTGTGCTTGGCATGTAGTAGGCACTTAATAAATGCTTGTTGACTTGACACAGCTGGAAAGTTCAAGCTGAGACTCAAACTCAGGGTGGTTTACCGCATACCATAAAAATGATCTTCCCCACCCAGGGCCATTGAATAAAGTAAGGTCAGAGGTGGGACTGGTAGAACATCTTTTGACACCTTTTAGAAAATTTCTTGGCATGGGTGCGCTTTGGGCGGAACATGGTTCATGTTTTCCTCTTAATTTAAAGAATCACTGGCCCCTGTTTTCTCACCTCCTTTCTTATTGCTTTTCTCCCTTCTGACTCCCCCCTCCTCCATTTATTCCTTAAAGAAGAGAAGCTTGTTCCTGTTTGTAAAACATTCCTGCTTTGTAAACTGCTGGTCAAATGCTCTCGAATGTTGCCAGCCGTAAGTAAGCCACTAGCAGACATTTGTGTTTTAGCAAAATGCTGGGGGCTCCTAGGGAGCTGATAAATAATGCAGAGAGGAATTCCTTCTACCCGGTAGTTACACTCCAAAACTAGTGAATTTGGGATTATTTGAAAGCGGGGATTGAAAAGTCAGAGGAAACCAGTTGTGTAGCATTTTCTTCGCAGTGATTTGGCCTGACTTAAAGTTCTTTTTTATTTTTTTACATGTAAATAAATTGAACTGAGCCAGACCTGCAGGGCACAAGCTGAAATAATAAGGGCTGCTGCATGTATCTGGGATTTGGGGAGCCCCTTTTATTTTGCATGTCAAATTCCATACAACTTGGCACTGCCCCAACCCGGAAATTTCTATAGAGATGTCCCCTAGTTTCCTAAGGCTTCATCCTAAAGGAGATTAGAGACCTGGTGGAAAAACCTCTTTCATTAAGGTCTAGCAGTTGTCCAGAAGCAGCCGGGAATTCATTTGCAAATCAGCCTCATTTCCCCCGACTTGCGGCACTCTCAAGTCTTGCAAAGCTGGTTCTGCTGTTTTCACCTTTTGCATGTGAATATGCCCCTTAATAGCTTTCTGACCCTGGTTGGTGTGGGCTTGGTCCTTGCTGTTCTGTTTGAGTTCCTGTTGGCTGACATTCCAGCGGAAGAAGCTCCTTTGGGTTACATTCTGAGAGCACACAAGATGGTGTCTTTTTCCTCACTAGCATGGCTGAGAGACACGCCATATTTACAAAACTATTGATCATGCTGCAGCTCTTCCTTGCGTTAATGAGCAGGACAGTTTATATTCTGTTGCATGTATAGCATTTGGTACAAATAGGCCTGTTGCTGTGAATTGCAACAAAGACTTTCATCTGAGCTGAACTGCTGTCATGTTTGATAGATTACTGCTATAGCAAATATCTATAAACGGCTTTGGTGGGCTAGGCCACTTCGGCTGCACTGTACACAGGAGATTGCAAAGAGGTGGTGGGATTCTAGCACCAGTGGGGAACCTAATAAGAGAAAGCAGTTGCAGCAATAGGAGGAGATAACTCCCAGCCTCTCCTTTCCCTCCTCCTCCCTGGGAGAGGCCTTCTCACTAATAACAAGCCAGCCGGGAAAAAGCCTGCAAGCAGAAGCCTCTTGAAAGCCCTCTTCTGATGTGGCTGTGCCTTCTGACCATCACCCATCTAATTTTTAAATGGCTGGTAAGTACTTTTTCACTGGGTTTTGGGTTTCTTGCCTTCTGTGCTTTGGATTTATATTTTCCTCTGGATCTTGTCCCTGCCGTCCCCACTTAGTTACATATTTCCTAATGTCTGTTTCACATTTGGAAATGGACTGTTTTTCCATACTCCAACCCCGAGAGAAGCCTCAGAACCTTTCATTGATCTCGATGAGAATTTCACATGGAAGAGGAGGTCCCTGATATCAAGGCTTGGTTGAGTTGGAGATCAGTTATATCTGTTCTGGAAGTAGATGTGCCCAGCCAGGAGAGATTGCTTTTACCATGCTAGCTTTGGGGACCTTAAATGAAAGCCCCTATTCCCAGAAATCTATGTATCTAGTTTCAGAGATTGTGAAGGCTGTGATACAGGGTGGCTCTCTAAAATATCTCCTGTTTAGTGTGATTTGGCTCCTTTTGAAATATCTAGGATTACAGTGTAGAAAATCAGGGCTTCCTAAAGAACTGTAAGTCTCCAGGTTTTTGCACGTGTTTAACTTGGCTGGGGCCTGCTTTTTCTTTAGGGCTTTGTCTCTCCCTGTGCTTTCCCCGCCTCCCTCTATACCCCTCCCCCTTTCTGTTTTTTTTTTTTCCCCCCAGGCATTTCTGGGGTTTTGGTTCATTATAGTTTAAGTATTGGCTTGGGAGGATTCTGTTGCTTCTGAGTAGCATGTCCTGTTTGGGTACCCTGCTCTCTGGGTCTTTAAAAAAAATGCTTTGAAATTATTAACTGTTTTCTGCTTTGTTGCCCTAGAGAACAGCATGTGGTCATGTTTGAAGTAGGCAATGGAGAGTGTGTGCAATTACCCCAAGTGCAATCTCTTCATTTGTACCTGATGACCCAATAATATCTGGGTTCTGTGCTTATGCTCAGGCATCATCCTGGGAACGGTGCCTTCCTGTAGATGTAGTGTGTGTGTGTAAATTCATTTGGAATACAGCGAGCAGCCCTGAAGGCTTTCCTGTCTTCATTTTGTTTGTTAGACTCATCTCAGGATTGTCCAGTTTCACAAAATGGGCTCCTAGTTACAAGTGTGGTACTGGTACTTCTTTGTGGAAATACCTTGTGATGATGGATAGAGGGTAAACTTGGTTGCTTGAAGCTGGAAAAGCCTGTGTTTTGCCAGGGATGCGATGGAGGAAAAGTAGAAAGAAACCCAGAATATGAAGGATGGGCAGTCTCCTAGAGAATCCTTTTTAAAAATGAAATTTAGGTATATTAATTCAGTAAATCTCATGGTGTAGTATAGTGGAAAATATGTTGGATTTGGAGGAAAGGACTAGAGTTTTTGAATCCCAGTTCTGACTCTTACTTATCATCAACTGTCAATCTAGGCACTTCATTTTAATCTCCTTGGGCCTCATTTTCCTCATGAAAGGGGTAGACAATATGATCTCTCGGTCCCCTTCCCGCTCTAAATCTTGATCTTGTTCAGAGAATCAGCTTTATAGGAGCCATGGTCAGTAAACAAAGTAAGGTGTCAGGAATTGTGGCTTAGAGCCAGGCCTGTTCAGCTATATTAGCGATGGTCTTTGACACTTTCCTCTGCCCCTCCCCCTTCTCCCCCCAGTGATTTCAGTACTTGCATGTTATCATCCTTTTTTTATCCAGGCTTATTACTGGCTACCACATAGGAGATGGCCTGGGCAATTGTGCTGTCAACAGCATTAAGGAATTTAAGACACCCAAAAATCTACTACAGGCCCAGGGCCGTGAGTGGTAATCACTAGGCCTGTCTTTTCCAGCCTGAGAGACTAAAACAATTCCCAGTAATGATGCGTCATTTCCTGGGCTGGAGAGCTAAGAGCTCTGAGGAGTCTGTGTGTGATCCCAGAGGCGGATGTGGGGGAAGGAATGCCCGATGGTCAATGAAATGGAGGTGTCTGCTGTAGATCTGAAGGGAGCTGTGTGTCCTAGGAGCCTGGTGTATGAGCTGCACAGGGCCTGCTTCTAGTGGAAGGGAAGCAAATGCTGCTTCAGTGAAGGAGCCAGGAAACAAATGTATATTTTGGAACATACATTGGTGTTCTGTCCTGGTTCAGACTTGAACAGGCTTATGTGAGCACCATTTAAATGCAGCAAGAGCAACAAAACACAAACAACCCAGCTCCATTAATCCAAAGCCCAGCAGTACCCACGCTCCTCAACCACATACGACAGAGAGAGAAGACTAAGGAACAAAGGGGACGAGATGCCGATGGAGCGAGATGGTGAATGTGGTTTTTAACACTTAATTCCCTTGCCCTCTTTAGCTGAGGGGGAGAAGAGCCTTTGCTTTGGGGCAGAAGTGGAAGGTTTGCACGATTGCACTGTTAGTAATTGGGGTTGGTGTTAGGCCACCTAGGAAGTCGAGGCTTTACTTAAGCTTTAAAAGAGCATTTTGAAATGGAATTGTGCTTTTTAATGAAAGCTGTTTCTTGTCTCAGGGCTGGAGCTGATCTCACGTGACTGTCTCTTCTTCTTCCAGTTAGCACTCCATACCCAACAGGCTTTCCAGATTCATGAGATAGTGTTTGAATGTTGGCAGGGGAAAATATTCTGTCTCATTCTGCTTTCCCCATGCTGTGTCCCTGAGTCATTCTTTTTAGAAGTGGTACCTCCTGCACATTAACGCTTTCTGAGCCTTGATGTATGTTATATGTACACATGTGTACATTTATATGTTTACACATATAAATGTACATACCCATGTCATGTGTACAGGCTGGGACTAGACCTGTAATTTCATCAGAATGGGGGGAAATTTCCCTGGGAGGAAAGCACTTTGACCACTGCCAATCCATACCTTTTCTCAGTTTTCTCAACTGTCAAATGGGGATAATAATAGCACCTATCTCCCAGGGTTGTGAGGCTCAAACGAGATAACATTTGTAAAGTGCTTACTTAGGACAGTGCCTGGGACATGGTAGGTGATTTATACTGCTGGGTGTTATTATGAAACATAGTAGTCTTTATGCTTGCTCAGAGTTCCATAGTCAGTGTGTCTGTCAGAGGCTGTATTTGAACCGAGGTCATCCTGGTTCTGAGGTCTGCTCTCTGTTCATCTGTTCTCCCGAATATATTTAAAAAATTCTTTTTTGGGAGGAGGAGGGGGAGAAGGTGATAGAGAGGGAATAGTGAGCACAAAACAGAGCTCTGTTATTCCCGTTAGAATATAAGCTTCTTTTGATCGGAGATTGTTTCATTCCTTATATTTGTATCCCCAGGGCCTAGCACTATGCCTAGCCTATAGTAAGTACTTGATAAATATTTGTCAAGACAAGTCAACTAGTGCTTAAGTGCCTACTGTGTGCTAATAAGCACCTCCGATATAAAGAAAGGCTTCTCTCCTCTCCCCCCAGTTTACCAGCTCCTACCCTCAGGGAGCTTACAGTCTACTGGGGGGAAGGGGGATGACATGCAGCGTGTGGCATAGACGAGATACATACTAGATGAACTGGAGATAATCAATAGAAGGAAGGCATTAAGTCATGTTACTTGTTGATTGACCTCTTTGGTAGGAGATTTCTAGACCTATTTGTACAGTATTTTAATTAAAATTTACTCATATTTCTTTAGCCCTTTAAATTAAAGGTATTTAAGATTTGGAAACCGAGGTACAAAGTGCAGTGGCTAGCACCAGGGTGACATGGAACACACGGTGTTTGGCAAGTAGTAAGGGACTGACAGATCAATGCTTGTTGACTGACTGCTGCTGATCATCATAATGAGAAACTGGGGTCTGTACAGGATGTTCCCAAAGTCTTCGTTTCAGAGCTTCAGGGTGGCATCAAGACGCCTTTAAGGCTCACTGTGTACTTCACATACATTATCTTATTTGATCCTCATAACATCCTTGTGAAGTTGGGGCATACCATCATCCCCATTTTACAGATGAAAAACCCGAGTGTCATGAGGTGAACTAGTTTGTTCATGGTTGCATAAGCTAGTCATTGTCCGTTGTGGAATTTGGACCCAGGTCCTCGGGATTCCAAGTCCAATATTGGAGCTACTGAGAGGCAGCATGATGTAGTGAAAGTGACTTTGTGATTGGAGTCAGGAGATACAGGTTTTGCGGAGGAGAAAATCAAGGTGCAGAAAAAGGAACTACCTTTTCTAGTGTCCCCTGAAGTCATGGATAGAATGCTGGATCTGTTCAGATCCTATGATCTGTCCCTTATTAGCTCTCTGGCCTTGGGCAAACCTGTATCATCTTCAAGTTTGCTTTTTTTTTTGAGGGGAGGGTAAATGAAAGGATATTAATTAATACTTCTACTATTTACCTCATGGGACAGTTGGGAGGTTTTATTTCATAAATTTCTTTCTTCTTTTTGGCTGCTATTTGTGAGGCAATCAGAGTTAAATAACTTGCTCATGGTCACACAGCTAGGAAGTGTCAAGTGTCTGAGGTCAGATCTGAACTCATGTCCTCCTGACTCCAAGGCCGGAGCTCTATCCACTGCGCCACTTAGCTGCTCCTATTTCATAAATTTCAGAACATGGTAGTAGGGATAGGGATTTCAATTTCATTGGTATAGCAAACTGTTGGGAGAGGAAACTCCCTCATCCTGTACAGGTGGGCACCTTCTCTTCGGCTTTTGGAGAGTTGGGAGCACCCTTGAGAGGTGAAGTGACTTCGCTGAGGGCACATGGGTTCATTCTTCCATCAGGTCTTTCTGTCTCTAAGGCCAGCAGTTCTTAGACTAGGCCATTTTATCTACAAGTGTCCTTGGTATAGAGATTCTCTCGCTTTGGAGGTCTTCAAAGTAAAAACTGCATAACTCTTGAAGGATTTTTTAAACAAGCATCTGAAGAAATGTTCATTTTATACCTCTCTTTGTGTATGGAGTCCATGTGTCCTGGATTTTTCCAGTATAGTACTGATTTCAAGAAAAGCCAAGTGTGTTCTTAATGAAATTTTGTAAAAGGAACAACTTGCATCACACCATGTGTCCTGATTTTTGGTCCAGGGGGAAAAAATGGTCATTGGATCTCCAAGACATCTAATTCAGTGGAGAACCCTCTAAAAAGAAAAAAAAGAACTTAATTTTTCTATTTTTGGCTCTTTGGTATTGACAGATGTGTGACCTATTACATTTCTATTCATCTGATAACAGGTGCCTAACCCCCACTCCAGTGGGAATTGCTTGTGTTTGTAACTTGAAATAGAGTTGGGCCTAAAGATTTGTGTTAAGATAAGAACCATAGTCTTAGACAACATGAGTAATATGTCATGAGGGTAAATCTCTTCTTCGTTCTGTGCCTTACTTTCCTTATCTGTAAAAGGAGAGGCTTGAATTAGATCTCTCTTAGGCCCTTTCCACAGATCCAAAAATTATTTGACTTTATGTTTTCTTTCTAGTTTCTTTTTTTGGTGGCTCTTCTTCCCCCTTCCCCCCCCCCCCCAATCATATGTTCACCTGAAACTGGGAGGGGAGGGGGAGAGAGACAGAGAGAGGATGAGGGAGGGAAGGAGGGGGGAAGGAAAGAGATGGAGGGAGTGAGAGAAGGAAGGAGAAAGAGGGATTGAGAGAGAGGGAGATAGAGGAGGGGAAGGGAGGAGAGAGGGAGAGAGAAAGATCACGAGGAAGGATACTGAGCAGCAAAATCTGTCTATTCTCATTTTTGCCTTCTTTCACAATCTCAGATCCCCTGACTCCTCACGTTTTCAGCCATAGGTAAAATAGCTTAATTGGTTGCTGAAGAAAACACTAAGTTGTGATTGCTTAGTGAGGACAGACCTGCCTGAATCTGAATTTTTAGGCTCATAGTTCCAGAATGGAAAGGGATTTTAGAGATAACTTAGTACAACTCTCTTCTCCCCATTTTAAAGATGAGGAAACTGAGAACTTGAGAAATTAAGTGACATATCCAAGCTCACACATACACTAAAAGGGCGAAGAGCTAGAATTTGAACCCAGACCCTTTAACTCCAGGTGTAGTTAGTTCCCTTTTTACTGCATCATGTTACGGCCACAACCAGTCTTTGAATCTTAATTTTCTTCAGTACTGAAATGAGGGAGTTGGACTGAATTTGAATTATCTCTTAAGATCTCATCCAGCTCTAGGGGCAGCTAGGTGTTACAGTGGATAGAACATTGGCCCTGGAGTCAGGGGACCTGAGTTCAAATGTGGCCTTAGACACTTACTAGCTTTGTGACCCTGGGCAAGTCACTTAGGCTTTATTGTCCCCCCCCCAAAAAAAATAAAAAGAAAGAAAAAAGATCTCATCCAACTCTAAATACTTTGATCCTCTTACCTGGCTTTGGAGAGCACTTCCTTAAGATGGCCTTCCTTGTAGGCAGCACAGTGAATTAAGTGCTGGACTAATTTAGGAAAGGCAGAGTTCCTATCTTACCTCACACACAGACTAGCGTGTAACCCTGGGCAAATCTCTTAACCTCTCCAGCCTCAGTTTCTGTATCTGTAACATGGGAATAATATGGCACCTACATTACAGGGTTATTGCAGGGAACAAACATTAGAACATAAGGGCTTGCAGCCCTAAAGTGTAGTATAAACACTAGCTATTATTAACCCTTAGACTGTGAGCTACTTGAAAGCAGAGACTTTTTTGGGGGTGTCTTTCTTTGAATCCCCAACACTTAGCACAGAGCGTGGCACCTAGTAGGCACTTAATAAAAGTGCTTGTTGATTTTCGACTCTGGGAGTGGATCAAAATGACTGTCAGCTCAGAGGCAAGTGGCCTTGCAGTGAGTCACAAAAAAGGCCTTTTCATTACTCATCCGCCCTGATCATTTGGTTGCTGCTTTTTCAGGAGGCTGTCTTTGGCAGGATGCTGTTAGAAATTTTACCTTGGAACCGCATTTTGCTGGGCTGCCCAAAACTGAGGTTTTGAGAGTGATGTCATGCGCTATATTTGTTTAGAAATAATAAAAATTGCTTTGCACAGACTGAAAGACCGTTCCTGAGCTGCCATTTTCTGATTATCTTTTTTTAAAATTTTATTTTTTGTTATTCTGAATTTCGAGAACACCAACAGACACAAGCATTTCCATATAATTCTATTATGTACATTTTGCTTTTTTAAAAAAAAAAGCTTATAAATTCAGCTTGTTAGTTTCTAAGTTGTTATGCTTGTCTGTGTCTCCTTCTGAATTGTGATTATCTTTCCTAGGAGACCCTGATGTGAACACTTAAGGCCAGAGGCCTCTCTTTGCCCCCTGTCTCAGGATAGTGCCTAATCTGCTTTAAGGATTGTTTCTGAGCTGGGAGAAATATTGAGAACTGGACTTTAAGCAGGTTTCTCATTGTCTTTTTGGGAAGCGGAGATGAAAAAAGAGACCTTGCCTGCTCCAAAGGAGAAGGGAAAGGTCCCCTCCTGTGGAATCAGACCCAACTCTGAGAACCTGGAAGTGGTTTCTCTTCCTGTGGTTGTGATTCCTTGGGGAGATCAGTAGTGGTGGTCTTTGTAGCCAGCCCTATTGGGAAGCTGCATACTGAACACTACCCAGTTCTAGCTTGCCTAGATTGAAGGGACACTGATACCTATCTCTGCTTGTGTGGACTTGCCTTGACTGCTAAAATCTGGGAGAAGAAATCCAGGCCACTCATCCAGAATAATCAACATGGGAAGTTCACATACCTGCCTTTGATGCTGTCATTACTCTAAACCTTGGGTAATTCTTGGCTCTTAGACTTTCCTCTCCTAAATCCTATAAGCTTGGGTTTCCCAGGATATGAGTCTGAAATACAGTGCCTAGTCATTACAGGCTGGTGGCATTAAATTGTTTCTTTCAGTGAAGGAGGTCGATTTCTGGTATGGAGTGGATTCAAGTCTTTGCAGGTGAAAGTTATTGTGTGTGTTGTTTATAGGTTAGACCAGCTGCTGGAGACATTAAGGGGGATGAGGGCTTGGGAGCATGTAGGCATTTCAGATGGAAATCAGAGGTCTCTTGGCTTTTTTTTTTTTTTTTGCATTTAGCTTTGCTGGAGAGGTTGAGAGCTGTTCTGCCTGGGAAGAGCTGCTTATTTACAACTTGATTAGGGGTGATTAGATGTGGAGAGTGGAGGAATGATGGAGAAATTGTACTTCTGATGGAAACACCAGGGAAAACTACTGTGCCTTACAAAACAGAAGACCAAGAAAATCTAACTTGGGTCCTTGGGGGTGGCTCTGTGCTTGAAAATAACCATTAGGATGTTTCCAGTTATAAATTATTCACGCACTCCTGGAGTTTCTTATGGGCTGGGTAGGGGTTAAGCATGGGATTGGGCAGTAGGATCCTCTAGGCTAAAGGAAATGGGGGAGAGGGGTGTTCATTAGTATTTATACAATAATGTTAACAAAGGGTGTTATACTATTCCAAGCTGGGGAGGTTTTTATTTGTTTGAGACTATATATTACAGGGTATCTTTCCCTTTTAAGTTTCAGACCAGCTTTTGGTAGTCAGTTAAACCATGGTCCTCTGTGTGTGTTGTATGTGTGTTACAGATCCCGGCTCTGCTGAGCGGACGGCACAAAAAAGGAAGTTTCCCAGCCCTCCCCATTCTTCAAATGGTCACTCTCCTCAAGATACATCTACGAGCCCCATCAAAAAGAAAAAGAAGCCTGGTTTACTGAACAATAACAGTAAGGAGCAGGTAAAAGAAGCCTCCGGGACTGCTTTGGTACTGAGAGCTACGTCACTTGTCTGTTTTTTGTGTTTCTGAAACTGCAGCCTTAGCTTGCCTTGTGCTGTTTTGACTAAATTGCCTCAGAAAAAAGGGGGAGGGTGCTTGCCAGAGGGTCCATGGCTGCCATTATCAGCAGATTTCTAAGCCTGTGTTCTGTGGATGGAGAAGTGTAGACCATGAGAAATTAAAGGTTGGGGACCTTTACACTCTCTTTTTATGCCCCTCTGTGGAATAGTAAGGATCCTTTATCCCCTAAAGTTCCCATAGTCATGGCTAAGACAGGAAGTAGACTCCGAGGCCAGATGGTTTCTGCTGGCGGTTCTTGACTGAACCATTTTCAGATGCTTCCTTGTGATTGGTGTGGAGGAATAGCTTGCCACCTGCTGAGCATGGGCTCAGGATTGCTTGTACTTGGAATAAGGAGGTTTGAAATCTGTCCTTTAGAATGACGTAGTCATACCCTACTGGTTCATAGGCCTTTTATTGCCTTTGATAGTATGACCTGACAGACCTCAGTTCTGAGGCAACAGATGATAAAGATCCCTAAACCACATTTCAGATATGTAGTAGTCCACCCTTCCTGCGGGAGCCCTTTTATCACTGGTACTATTAAAGAGAAAAAGTGGACGTTCCTTTTCCCCACCCTCCCTTCTTCCCAATAGAGAGCAGGGGTGGTGGTGGGCTGGGGTGGGAGAACTGATGGAGGAGAGGCACAGAGCCTGTATAATCCCCAAATTGTACAGTAAGCCCCTGAGGAAACTAGATTTGATTGTTTTAACAACTTCATTTTCCAAATCACACGGTCTGAGGGAGGCAGCATAGTGGAAAGAACACGGGACTAAGAGTTTTGAGACCTGACTTTTGGTTCTGCCACTAATTAACTTTTTGAGTGACTTTTGGGCAGGTTGCACTTCCCCTCTCTAGATGTTATTTTCTTTATCTGTAAAATGAGAGGGTTGGACTTTAGGTGATGTTTAAGGTTCCTTTTGTGTCTGAAATATTATAATTCTGTGATCTAATTCCTTAAGATGTATCCTCAGCTAACCCAAGCAGATGGGATTCTGCCCTGTCTGTGAGAAGCTCGTCTGTATCATATACTCTAACCAAGGGTGGGGAACTTTCAGCCTTGAGGCCACATGTGGCCTTCTAAGGTCCTTGGGAGCAGCCTTTTGACTGAGTCCAAGGGATTTATTCTGTGCAGTGGCCGTGTGTGGCCTTGAGGCCCCAAGTTCCCCACCCTCTAACCTATACTGACTTTCTATAGCTTTCGCTGTTGAGAAGTTATTTCCTATGTCTAACCCGTATCCCTTATGCTGTATTTTAAGCCCATTTTACTTTTAGTGTATGTGAAAGTGTCTCAGAGCTAGAATGGACCTGGGAGGCTTAGCCTAGGCTTTCAGGAATTGCTTCCATTAACATTGTAGACAATCTGCCATCTCCTTGAGGACCTCTAATGACAAGGAACAGCTGCGTTTAGAGTCAACTCATTCCACTTTTTGATAGCTGTGATTGTTAGGAAGCCTTTTTTCCTCATGTCAGCCTATCTCTGCTTTCTATAACTTCTACCCCTTGCATTTGGTTCTTCTGGAGCCAATTAAAACAAATCTAACTGATGGTCCATGTGACAGCCGTTTGTCTTCTTGAAGAGAGTTAGCTAGACCCTTCTAAGTCTTCTTTTCTACTAAATGTCTAAACTAGGGCTGAACATCTCCAGTTCCTTCAGCTGCTCCTCATCTACTTGGCATTTTCTTTACACCTTTAATGATCCTAGATGCTTTCCTTGGAGTTCTCTCTAGTTTATCAATGCTCTTGTTAAATGGGGGCATTCAGAATTGAACAAAGTCCTCTTAGATATGATCTGATTAGGGCAGAGTACTGGGGAGGCAGGTGGGGGTTTAACCTATCTAGTCCTGGCCTCTCAATGTAGTTTCAGATAACATGAGCTATTTTGGTCACTGTAGCTCACTGTTGGCTCATTGAGACTACTACTGTTCTTTAGCCATTCCTTCCACCATCTTGTACTTGTGATGTTGATTTCTTGGATTCAAGTATAAGACTTAATATTTATCCCGACTCAATTTCTTCTTAGTCTTTTTGGATCCTGACTCTGCCATCTAGAACGGTGTTCTCACCGTCGTTTGGAGATGGTGCTACATCCCTAAGTTTGAAAGCATATATTAAGTATTCCTTTTCCTTCTTTGTACCTTTACCATCCTTCAGAATTCTTAATTAATTATATTTTCTGAAGAGAAGCCATATATAAAATCAAATGTTCAGATTCCTCCATCTCTTATTAAGAGGTCATTTTATTGAAAAGCTGTCTGAAATTTGACCATCTACCACATGAGACCATTGTATCCTCAATAAGTCCCCATGCCTTATAGGGGCATTTTGGGAATAGATTTTATTGCATCTTTTTGGGGGGCCTGGTTTTCCTCCCCTATGTAATGTCATAAAATAGTCATAGACCCTACGCTGGGGAGAAATCATATCAGAGTTTCTATTGTTCTGTCCCCCTTCCTCCCACCCCACAGTGTTAAAAAATGTAGAGACAAACTTACAGTGTAGTGGAAAGAGTATAGTACTAAGAATCAGAAGGCCTGAATCCTGGTTCTAGTTTTGCCACTATGACTGTGTGACCTTGGGTAAGTGATATCCCCACTTTGGGCCTCAGTTTTTTCTACTGTAAAATGAGGGGTTTGGGATGACATTACCTTCAAAGTCCACCTCAATTCTTGACATTCGGTGATATTCTTTGTGTAAATTGGGGGATCCGAATTCTTTTTTTTTTTTTTGCAATCATATTACAAGGTGCACAGAAATTCCTAAACTAATGCCCACCTGGCATATTAGCATCAAGCATATGCAAATGGATAAACCTGCAGATGTGGTGGGTGTCTTCGAAGCCCCTTTGTTGTTGATGTGACCCATTAAAGGGGATGGGGAAAAAAATAGAGCAATTGGAATTTTAACTCTGCAATTATCCCTGTAAGTAGCACAGGTTGGAACTTGTCTATCTAATTATTTGGGTGGTACAATAGCTAAAGACAGGTGGGGGAAAGTTGTAATCCACGGGAGGCAAAGCAGCATGTTTGTTATCTATTAGAGATGCCTTTTTACTTAGCAGGCAATATGTTCAGGAGCCAGATGAGCTATGAGAGGTATCTGTTGGATGGTGGGGTTGTTTAAATAACAAATTCTGGGTAGCAGCTGCTGCTTAAGGCAGATATTTCAGTTCAGAAATGGACAATAAGATAGAATCTCTAGTGGCTTGCCTCCAACCTTAGTTAATCTTGGGGGAAATAAAGATTTTTTTTTCTTCAACTATCAAAACATTTGCCTACATCAGAAACAAATTAAACGTGTGTCCTGTTAGGCAGATTACTTTGTCACTTATAGTTCACCCAGCTCCATTTGGCTCCCAGGGAGGATTCCTGGCCTATTCTTAGCCCTTTAACTTGGTGAAGGAAGAGAGGTGCAGAAAGCAAGCCAAAGCTTGCAAAACCACAAAAACCTCCCAGAAGCCTTGAGTTGAGTTAGAGGTAGTTCTGCCAGCTCGAGGACGGGAGGATGCCTCTGCGAATGTCTGCTTCCACCCATGCCACCTCTTCCCCTTCCTGTTCTCAAGCCCTGACGTTGCTGCGTGCCGTCATCATTGCTGGGCACTGCCTGCTCTCCTCCTTTTGCTTAAAGCTCTCTTTTTAATGCTTCCCTTGCGCTCTTACGCAATGCATCCTGCATTCTGTGTAAGTGCATTGGTTTCTAACTTCCAGAGAATGTTTATTTTTGGAGTCATTGGAAGCTTTTCTGTAACAAAAGTGTGGAGGGCTTGTCTGATGTTGCAGTCATGGGGTCTTGAAGATGGGAGTGAGGGTGCGGCAAGGGACCTGGCTCTAGTCCTGGCTGTGCAATGGATTGGCTGTTTGATCTTGGCCAAGTCATTTGACTCCTGGTGAATCTCAGATGACAATCACAGAGTGTGTTGGCCTGAATATGGACTGTTTCCATAAAGAGAGGCCGCATGGTATGCTGGATAGAGAGCTGGGTTCAAGTCCCACTTCTGACACATACTGGCAGTGTGACCCTGGGTAAGTCACTGTACCTCTCAATAGACCCTGGCAGCTCTCCAAAACCATAAATTGTACAAATTGGCCATCTTCATCAATAAGATGAAGTTTTCTCGCCAGGACTTAAACCTATACGAGAGGGGTCAAACATGCATGTGGTCTACAGTACTTCTGGGTCCTGAGGCATGAACTGAATTAAAATGTAATTGGCAAATATTTAACAAAATTAATTAAAAAAATTAATAAAACATGGATAACATTTCATTTTAAAACGTAGTCAATTTGCATCTTTATGTCTGGGTTAATGGGCCCCTCTTTTCTATGTGAGTTTGACGTTACTGCTGTAGGCAGTTCTCTTAAGACCCTTATGTTGCAGAAAAGTTGGCCAATGGAGAAGGGAGTTTGGTTGCCCTGGTAACCAGACTTGCATTGGTAGAGGGAATTCCTTTTCCTAGGAATTCCTTATGCCAGTGAAAATCATAGGTCCAGTCCTTAACCTTGTATACTAAAAACAATTATCCAAAATGACTCTATGCAGAAATATATGTACATATATACTTACATTTACTATGATTTTTTTTAACATTTCCTTCAATTCAGATACTTCAATGATCCGTGATTTCATCAGTGTGGATATTTCTTCCACCACCTCTCTACACTTTTAGTAAATGGTTTCATGAAGGGCTGTGGCCAAAACTTCATCTGCTGGTTGGTGGACAGCCTTCTGGTGATAAGTTTCTACCTGCTTGTTTGGCTGGTTTTTGTACAGTAGACCCACAGTCTGTTGCTAGTTTCATATTCAAAGCCTTTCTATCTTGATAGGTCCTGGGAGAACTTGGGTTCATCTGTTAGAGCCTTTGAGGATTCAGAATTTCCTCCTTGTCATAATGAGGTCTGGGAGGAGGACTTGAGTGGAGGTTCAAGCTCAAAAATGCTTAATCATTTTGATCATCATGGTTCTCTGTACCTTTATGACGTTTCCAGTTGTTCTCTTACTCCGTGGGTTCTTAACCTGGGGTCTGTAAAACTTGTTTTTAAAAAATGTTTTGAGAACTGTATTTTAATATAATTGATTTCTTTTGTAAATCCTGCATCTTTTGTTTTATGGATTTTAAATCATCCTGAGAAGGGGTCTCTAGGCTTTTACCACATTGCCAACGGGGTTCATGATAGAAACAACATTAAGAATCCTTGTCTTACATTTATAGGAAGCCCTCAGCTTTTGTACGAATCAGATTTGGGGAATCAGCCTGACCTGGATTTTTAATTCAGTTTGGTCATTTCTGCCTTACCTAGCACATGGAATTGCTCTGAGGATCAAATGAGAAAGTGCTTGTGAAAGTGCTTTCAAAAAACAAGGGACAGAGATAGGAACTGGACCTTGGATTTCATTCCTGTGAGCAACTTCCAGGTGAGGAAATTCCCTCTACCAATGCAGGTTGGCAACTTCTCTGTAATTTGTGGTCCAAGAGTTGCCTAGAACATTGATAGATTTAGTGACTCATCCAGTGTGTATTAAGAGGTGAGACTTGAACCCAGGTCTTCCAGGCCAGCTCTCTATCCACTACACCCCATTGCCTCTTAATTAACACTGTGTAAGTGGGAGGTGGTACGGTTGTTCTCATTGTCATTCTGTGATGCTGTTTCCTTGGAGTGCCTGGGATCACAGGGTCGTAGGTTTAGAGCTGGAAGGGATGGCAGAACTTGTCCACTACAGTCCCTTCACTGATAGATGAGAAACCTTGAGTCCAGAGGGGTTAAGTGATTTTGCCCAAGGGCCCATTGGTGGTAAGTAGCAGAGCCAAGATGCAAAGCCAGTTCCTCTTACTTCAAATCCAGCACCCCTTCCATTGACACTCACCTGAAAAATGGTCATCAAAAGGACAAAAAATGACCAGATGTTTTTAGTGTGGCTTAATGCTCAGGGATTTATTATTTATCCATCGCATAACCTTGGACAAAGCATTTATCCTTTCTGAGCCCCAGTTATTTATTGAGTAAAACTGGGGGTCATGAGCTTTATAAGGATTAACCAACAAGGATTTGCTAAGTACTTGGTGACTCTGGGTATAAAGGGTATCTAGTAGCATGAGGTGTTTTTAGTACAGTAAGACCTCATTACAAAGTGACCTCTCCCAACACGGATTCTTTTCTGCGGCCTGCCTGTCAAGCTCCTTGTGGTGCAGACGTCTTCTGAGGTGGGTGTCCTCTTGCCTGATGACAGTGTTATTATTCAGTTCTACTGAAATTGAACCTCATTTGAACTCATTTGCACTCATTTGAACCTCAGTTTCTTTAACTGCAAAATGCAAGTTGGACTGGATGATTTCTAATGTCCCTTCTGACTTTTAACAGCCTTCTGTGGTTCTGTTATCATAATTGTTTTGGTAGTTGCTACCCTGGGCTCTGTTGAGTTACGATCATGGGCTGGATCTGCATCAACTTAATTGAATCAATAGGACCAGAGAATGTTGTTGGACACCTCTTAGTCGTGGTCACCTAGGAATTGTAAAAATGCTGGCTTTTTTGACCACTGGCATCAAGTCAAACCAACAGCACTACTTAATTCAGCCCCTGTCTCTCTCCTGAGCTCCAGTCCATCATCTTGATCTGTCTGCTGGACATCTCCCTGGATAGGCATCTTGGACTCAACAAAACTTATCTTTCCATCTGAAGCCAGGAGGAAGCACCTCTTTCCTTGCTGACTTTGCTATTTCTGTTGAGTACTACCATTTTTCTAGTCCCGCAAGTCCAGAAGCTAAAAGCCATCCTCTTCACTCCCTAGATGCAGTCAGTTGCCAAGTCTTGCGTATTGTATCTTCATGATATCTCTAGCAGTTGTCCTCTTCTCTCCACTCACACAACCATTAGCCTAGTTCTGGCAATTATCACCTCTCACCTGGACTGTTGCATTAGCCTTTTAACTGATCACCTCACATCTCATCTGTCCTTCCCAACCCATCTCCCACAGAGCTGCCAGGTTGATGCATTTAAAGGATAGTTGTCATCATGTCTCTTCCCTAACACAAGAAGGGTCAGGGGCTCCCTTTTGCCTCTAGGATAAAATACACACTCATATATGACAGACATTTAAAGTCCTCCACTGTCTGGCTCCAACATATTCCTTCAGACTGATTGCACCCCCCCCCCAGCTTTAGCCACATTGTCCTTTTTACTGCTGCTGTTCCTCTATGCCCACATTCCTTCACTTGCTTCTGTGCCATGGCATAGGATTTCCTGCATACTTTGAATGCTCTGTCTTCTTACCTTTGCCTTTTAGAATCCCTAGGTTTCTTCAAAACACAGCTTAGACACCACTTCCTACACAATGCATTTCTTAATTTCTTCTGATTGCTTTCCTTATAAAACAACTTTGTATTTATTCTTTATGTATTTTGTTTATACTTACTTGTATACATGTAGTTACCCTTAGTAGAATGTAAGCTCCTTGAGGGCAGGGCCTGTTTCGGTATGGTCCTTGTATCCCCAGCCCCTAATAGTTCCTAGTGCAGAGTATTCATTTCACAAGTGCTTATTGAACTTCAGTTCAATATCGAACTGGATTATAGGCCTGTTACGTTTGAGGTAACGTCAAGGATCTGTCATTTTTTTCAGAGTGGGGACTTCCCCCCTCCATATCCCAATCTAGTCTGTAAGTTAAAGAACTTAAGAGATTTACCTGAGTCTTAGAAAAGTTGAGTGACTTGTCCATGGTCATAGAGTGTCAGAAGTGGGATTTGAACCCAGGCCTTACTGACTCCCAATTCCAGCATTCTATCCACTATGTCATGCTGCCTCCTAAATTTAGGGTCATGGGATCATAGGACTTAGAAAGGAGCTCTGGGATCCAACCCAACCCTCTGATATTTCAGATATAGAATCTGAAGCTGAGAGGAATGACTTTTTCAAAGTCATTGGTAGTCTCAGTCTTTGTGTGGTTTATCTCACATTAATTAAGGATAACAATTCATTAAGGACTTCACTTTATGTAAGAGGTGTGTTCCTAATTTCTGTAACCCCAAAAAAGTATTTTATGTGCCTTAGAACAAGCTGTGTTGTCAAGGATTCCTAAGATAAATGGGAACCACCATTCCCCAATTTATTGTTAGTTTGGATTTTTGTCATATTAGTCACCAACCTCTAACTCTGCTTTGTAAGTTTGGATTTTCATATATTGGATTCCTAATTTCCCTTTTATAGCCAAGAACTGACTTACAAGTAGATACCAGAAAGCTTTTGATCTATTCTGCACCTCCCCCTTCGCCCCCACTTCCAAAACTAGTGTGATAGAAAGGCCTTATGAACACGTAGGATGATGACGTGACTTTAAAGCCTGAGTCGATGAATGAGATTTGTGCAATGTGATGTGCTGTTGTTTGTTATTGTTGTTGTTATTGTTGTTGTTTAGATTTCTTTTGAGAATGCAAATTTGTTTTGAAACCAAACCTGTCTTTCTTGCCTACATTTCAGTCAGAACTAAGACATGGTCCGTTTTACTATATGAAGCAGCCACTCACCACAGACCCTGTTGATGTTGTACCGCAGGATGGACGGAATGATTTCTATTGCTGGGTTTGTCATCGGGAAGGCCAAGTCCTTTGCTGTGAGCTCTGTCCTCGGGTTTATCATGCTAAGTGTCTGAAACTGACTGCGGAACCAGAGGGGGATTGGTTTTGCCCAGAATGTGAGGTTAGTTCCCAATGAAAAGTACTACTCTGCCTCCCATCTTTTTTTCTTCCCTTTTCTTCTTTCCTTTTCTTTACTGTTGTCCAAATTTGAGGCAGGGGAAGTTTTTCCCCACTCTCCCCAAAATGTTTGTGTCATTAGGTAGCTATTCTCTTTGACCATCTGCTTGAGTGGGTATGGCAGCAATTGCTCTCCTGCTTTGGGATTACATTCTACTTTCTCACTGAGAACTAGTCTTCTCTGGTTTCCCTAATGTTTTCAGAAGTCCACTTATGTAATATCAAGTCTGCGAATTTCAAAAATATCCTACGTATTAGTTGATTCTTTTCCTTCTTTTTATTTTTGGGGGGCTACTACCCCTCTTGATGGACATTTTCAAACAACTGTCAAGAAAAGAAGACATTTTTATTACAGTAGATTTCAGATACTTCTTGTCTGATGTGAAAAACAATGATATTCATTGTGGGGGAAAACACTTTGAGATTTTTCAAAGCATGTGTACTAATATTTTTCCAAACAATAACACAAGCCATGGCTTCTTGCTGTTGAAGAATGCAAAATATAATGCTTGCTCTTGGTTTTAAAAGTAGAATCTGAAACTTATAATTTGACATGAAGCATCACCTGGATCCCAAAGCAAATCAAATTTTGGGACTAAGTTAATATGGCAGTGGCATTTGATTGATGCTTTGGAAAGTCAACTTCTTCCTTTGCCTCTATAAATGCAAACAATGACAACCAGATTCTATTATCTGTTCTCCAACTGTCTTTTTTTTTTTCCCCCGAGGAAAATGCTAAAAGTGAGTTATAGAGACCTGGTGTCTTGGTTGTAAGGGCTCAGTTTTGTTCATTTTAGATTTTGCTTGTTAGCCATCAAAGTTGAGAGTGGGCCTGGAAGTTGAACTTCTTCCTCCCTTCTTTCAACCCTGTCTTGACTACCACTTCTAAATTGTATAATGGAACACTAAGAAGAAAAATACCTGGAAATGATCCTGGGTTCAAATCATTTGATACTCTCTGGATAGAAGTTCGACAAATTTATTAGCAAGTGAATAATCTATGCAGACTACAGAGAGAAGACATTGGGTACTCCGTGCAATGATCCTTTCTTTTGAGGATGTAGATGGCTACGTCATGTGCCATATTTACCTGCTGTGTGGCTCTTATTCTCCTTTTCTCTAATGATCCAAAGGACATCTGTGGTGACATAATCTGGAGCCCCTGAATTGATTAACAATGGAACCAAGATTCAGACTGGAGAAAAACTGTAACAACTTTCCAGTGCTGCAGTTAAGGGGAAGAACAGTGGTTCCTTGATTCCATTACTTGTGACATGAATGTCATGGGCGTATAGATCGTTGTCTTCTCTAGGAGCTTTCCCTGCTGTGTGCCAAAACCACATGGCTCAGCCCAGCTTTCTTCATTTCACTCCTTGTTGGTTAGGAATGTTGCTACAGATGCATTTTATCAGTCAGTATACTAAGAGAGACAGTGGTGTCTCTTGCTTTGTTTTTACTTTCTTTGTAGTGACTTCACAGAACTAGTAAATGAAGAATTAGGTCATATAAACATTAGCTTCTGACCCTCCACAGAAAATAAATATATAGACCATGGGGAAGAAAGTTTCTTCCCATTGGTGTTGGCAGTTGAGTTAATGCCTTCCTGATGTCAGTGGAATGAACAAAAGGGTTGGAATGGTAATTGTTCATCATTTTGACAAAACCACCTTCTTGAAAGTAGCCGTGGTGCTTATCTCACACCTATTCCTGAACTCTAGGGAGAATCAAAGTTCTCCCAGTCTGAACAGTCTTACTTTCCTACGATCTTCTTTAACTCACTTACCTTCATGACCAAAAGAGGCACAAGACCAGGTAATGGATGTCATGGTCATTGAGTTGAAAGAGTTTAAACAAGGGCTTTTACCACTGCCCCTTCCAAGCGAGAATCAGTGACCATCACCAGGCAAAGTGAGCTTTTTATCTTGCAGTTAAAATTGGTCTCTCCTGAAACTGGGAGGTCTCATTGAAACCTGTTTCCGTTAGAAAAACTATTCCTTGTAGGTGTGCTTTCTGGACAAATGAATACGATGGGAGGGCATGTATACAGTTTTTTCCTAATTGAACATTTGTATAATTTTCACTTATAGAAAATCACTGTAGCAGAATGCATTGAGACGCAGAGTAAAGCTATGACAATGCTTACCATCGAACAGTTATCGTACCTGCTCAAGTTTGCCCTACAGAAAATGAAACAGCCGGGGGTAAGGAAAACACTTCCTGGCAGCAGATGCTTGAATTAAAACCTTCAATGCTTTTTGTTCACTTGTTTCTTATTCTTTGTAGGGTTTAGTTTTTCAGACTTCTGCACAGACTCTTTTGGTCTTCTAATCTACCAGAATTCAAAAGTCCATTAATTAAGAATAAGGTGCGATGGCTTTCAGTTAATTTTTTAAAGTGTGCAGTTTATGTTCTGAAGGAGACTCCAGGAAGTAGAAGACAGTAGAAAGGCTGTGGGCACATTCATTTAATGAGGTGGTAAAATGGAACCATCTTCCTTGTGGAAAAATTGTGGGGGCCTAGTCCCCTGACTTCATAGGGCTAATGAGGTCCTGTTACACAAAGTGTCTGTATAACAAAAGCCTGTCAAGCCCCAGCTGGTGGAGCTTTCCAGATATATTTGGTCCAGGACAGTCCATCATCATAATTTAAATAGTTCCTTGGAATTTGTGGTAATGGGATTTGACCTATGTTGTTTTGAGAGGCTGTTGGCATTTACCATTGATTCCCTGTGCTCTTTTAAGTGAAATAGTATTCTTAGTGCATATGTGAAACTTTTTGTTTTGCTTTCCAAGTCAAAAGATTGGATATCAAGAACAAAGCGAAAGGGATTTATATCCACAGCATTTTAATAAAGAGATCTTTGAGATTCCTTTAGAAAAAAAAAGATATACAAATTGGCTTTTAAATACCTGGTAATGAAAAGATATTATTAGCAAATAATGTTTCTATCCCAAAGGGGTCAAATATATATATAATACCCTTTTTTTTCTATTTCATCTTCCCTCCTTTTCAGTTTTTAATTTTTGGACTTAAGTATCTCAAGAACACATTTACAGCTTTTCAGAGACTAAGCTAAACCCAGTGAAGTGTCCATATATAAGAGGAGGCATTGTGGTAATAAAAAGGAGAAAAGTATGTTGGAAGATGTTAACATCTCCCAGCTATGGGCATGCTGAAAGAGATTGAGAAAGAAGTTTTGTTGTGCTGAGGGAGCTTATCTTACTTATGGTGACTTAGGTAAACTGAATAAATCTTAGAGACTTGTAAATCATTAAGAAATAGGTCTGGAATGATCTTTCATTCAACCCAATTTAGGTGCTCTGCTTCAGTAATATTTACTATTTAACCAAATATTAAAGACTATTATAAGATAAATGCCATTAGGAGGAAGGCTCCCCCCCCCCCATTTTGGATGATTGAAACACAGTCTTTAAGACATTTTGATGGGCTAATTTTTAGAGTCTTCTCACCCTTCTTGTAGCTTTTTTTTCACATATAAATTGCTTTCTAAGATCCTGACATCCTGAGATTTAGAGCTAGAACAAGAGACCTATGCCTTCATTCTCCTCCCCACAATTATAGAATAGGAAATTGAGGCCCCAAAGGGTTAACTAACTTGTACAGTGGAGCTCTTGACAGGTAGTGGCCTAGGAATTTGAACTCAGGTCTTCCATTTAAAATCAAATGCTTTTCCCAGTATACCATAATGCCTTATGTTTGCTAGATTCTTTCCCTATTAGCCGTTGTCGCTAAAAGTACTTTGTGGGTCATATAATAATCGATGCTGGGGAATAACTGGGTCTCCCCTGTACCTGCCTTGCATCCTGTATGCAAGACGCCTAACTTCTGAGTACCCAATTGTGGACGTTTTGATAATAAAAGGCAAAGTGTAATTATACTTAGAATCCTGAAGCCCAGAATTTACATATAATTGCTATGGCCCCTTATTTTATTTTATTTTTTTCTTAAGGATAGAGTTATTAGATAGAAATGGAAAAAAAATGGAGCTCATTTTTTTTTTTAGAGGAAAACAGGTAGAATTTGGAAGGGAAGCCACAGACCTTTTCTGGATCTAGTCAGGTTTTGTTTTAGAAAGCTGTGCTCTGAAGGACTATTTGCGGGTCCCAGGTAGAAGACAGATTAAGTAAACTTCATTTTCACAAAGGCCTCCCACAACAGTAATGTGTATATGTGTTTCTTCTTCTCTGTTTTCTTCTGTCTCTTCCTCTCTTCTCTTTTTTTATATAGACAGAACCATTTCAGAAACCCGTATCGCTTGATCAGCACCCAGACTATGCCGAGTATATCTTTCATCCAATGGATCTCTGTACATTAGAAAAGGTCAGTTTTCACTGAGACCTAAAGCTATATTGTGGTGTTCTCCCCCCCCTTTCCTTCATCTCCCCTGGTGTTTCCCATCTCAAGTTCTAATGTTTTTTTTGCACAGTTCAAAACAGATGCAGCATGTATTTCAAGATTTTTCCCCTTCTGTTATTTTGCCATGTGAAAATTTAGTGACTTTTCTTGTCTAATTCTAAATTTTTTCCAGACAACAGTTCAGGTGTCCACTAACAGTGTGTTATTATATGCTTGTCTCCCCATCTATTTCTCTTGTCAGCTTTGCTGGTTTGCTGGATGGGAGGCAGGTGGTACCCTAGAGCTGGTTTATTTGACTTTTCTCTTGTTGGTACTGATTTGGGACAGTCTTTCATAAACTTCATGATAACCTCTAATTATAATTTTGAAAATTGTTTTATTCTTCTGCCTCCTTCCTTGTATTTTTCTTACTTTCACCTTTGTGGTGCTATGAGTACTCAGGCCTCTCTGTCTGAAAAGAAATCTAAAGCGGAGGCAAGCACATACAGCATTTTTATTCCTGCCAAATCCAAAAGGTAGGAAAATGCCCCCTCTGGGCTATTTTAATGGTGATAAAAGCCAGAGGTAGTAAGGGATAATTGAAATGAATCATTGAATGAAGACACTTTTATTAAGCATTATATACAAAGCAAGATGCTCTCTTAGAAGCTCCCATTCTAATAAGGGAGACAGTACCTATAGAAAGTTTTAGCTGTAAGTCATGGAAAAGGCTCCACCAGGGTCCTTAGGATAGAGTGGTAAAGCGATTGGTAATGAATCTTCTTTAATGTTATTTCCACTGATAAAACTATTTTTTATGTTGACCCATTTGCCAGTGCCAAGAACTTCCATGGAGGAAACATTCTTTTCTGGGTCTTGAGTAGCTAGGGCTGCTGACGAGGCAGGAGCACCTGCGAAGGCATTTGTCAGCTAAGATCTCTACAAGGATTGAGCTCCATATTTTTAGAAATAGAGAGGAAACCAGAGATAATGTTAGTTAATAGGATCGTTGCTTAAAGTCTGGGTTCTTAAGCTTTGATATGCTGTGGACTCCTTGGGCAGTCTACTGAAGCCTATAGACCCCTTCTCAGAATAATATTTTTAATGCATAAAATAAAATCTGTAGGATTGCAAAGGAAATCCAGCCATACTGGAATATAATTATCAAAATATTAACATAATTTATTAAAATATTTTAAAAAATTCATGGACTACGAATGAAGAATCTCTGAGTTTAAAGGACCTTAGAAAACAGGATCATAGTGATTAGAAAAAGGAAAACCTTTAGAGATCTGATAGTTTAAGTCTTCATTTACTTAAGAAAAACCTGGGGCCAGAGGTAGGGAAGGGACTTACTTGAGGTCACAAAGCTAAGTAGCATCAGAGCTGAAAACTCAAGACCTCAAGAAGGCTGCAGTTCTTATGAATTTCTAAAAAGTAGAGAAGGGAGCGGATTGCTTTAAATTTGATCTGATCTTCTGCCTTCACTTTTTGGGGATGCTGATGGGCAACAGAAGGCCTAAAGAGAATTCAGGTGTCTGAATAATTAATTTAATTGCTAGAATTGTGAGTAACGGTCCTTAGCCATTCACATTTGTGTTGGTACTTTCCATTCTATGAAATGCTTTGCTTATAACTCCCTGTGATTTAAGATATAGTGCAGGTATTGTTGTCACAGGTGGAGGGATTTGAGGCACAGAGAGGGAAGGAACTTGCTAATAGTCACCTGGCTTCTGACCCCTGGGAACCGAGGTCTTCTAACTTCAAATGTTGTGCCCTTCCCCTTCCATCCTGCTGCTTCTCCCTTTAATTAGAGAGCTGGCTTTATTAAGCCTCTTCTTGTTAGTACTTTTGTCATTAACAATAGGCATTTAATTCTAGATGCTATTTGAAAGTCAGAACTAGGGGAAGTTCCATAGTAGAAGCTATATTACTTTCTTTGTGTATAAGTAGTTATCATTCTTGCCCTTATTTGTGAATTTGGAGCTAATCGTGAATACTTCACACTGAGAAACCCATACACACACACAAAAAAAAAAAGAAAAAGAAAAAGTGGAAGAAGAGCTAATAGATTAAATCCTATATGTATCAATTTGCCCCAAACAGCAAAAGCAACAAAAAATAATAAAAAAGAGAACCGTCTGGTCTTTCAGTGGCAGGATTCCTTTTATTCTGTCCTTGATGTCTTTGTAGTTTTTTTTTTTTAATATAATCCAGTAGTGGCCATGGGGTGTTGGAAAGAACACTGGCCTTGAAGCCAGGAGGATGGGAAGGTTCCAGTGATAGCTCCGTCTGAGGCTGTTTCCATCCCTTTGAGGTGGGAATAATAATATTCCTGCCCTGCCTACTTTCCAGGGCTCCTATGAGGAAAGCATTCTGTAAACTGTAAAGTACTTATTGGAATGGCGGGTTTTGTGGTTGTTATCATAGGCGCTCAGGACCTGGGCAATTTCCTCCTTGCCTCCTCTAAAGCAGGCTCATTTTAGGAAACAAGATGGAGAGGGCTTCCTCCTTCTCCAGAAGCCGGTCAATCAGGAAACATTTAATAAGGCACCAGGGAATGCAAAGAAGGCAAAAGATAGTCTTTGCTGTCTGATGGGGGAAACAACATGCAAACAGCTTTGTACAGATGAACTCTATACAGGATGAATTAGAAGTAACTAATAAAGGGAAGACATTAGAATTAAGGGGAATTGAGAAAGCTTCTTGTAGAAGGTGCAGTCTTGGCTGGCACTTGAAAGAAGCCAGGAGACAAAGATGAGGAGGGAAAGAATTGGGGGCATGGGTGACAGGTCCATTTTCCTGTCTTTGGGGCTTGGCAATGGTTTAATGAATTAGGGGAAAGGGGGAGTGCTGAAGAACAAATATTTGGGGCACAGTGGGAGAGAGAAGTGGCTGTTGAACAGGGCAAAGATTTGTCTCTTCATGACTCTGTGTGTGATGGTTTTCCCCTCTCACAGAATGTTAAAAAGAAAATGTACGGTTGCACTGAAGCCTTTTTGGCCGACGCCAAATGGATTTTGCACAACTGCATTATTTACAATGGGGGTGAGTAGCCAAGTTTCTAGGGCCAGGAATATGCCATGTGCAGAAAGGTCCCACATGAAGCTATGTCACTAGGGTATGATATGTTTAGCAAAGGGGTGAAAAATAGTGAGCCATTAAATGCTGTATATGCCTAAGAAAGCAACAGTATTATTGAAACATATAACGAGACTGTCACTCCTTCTTATAACTGAGTGTCACACATGGGCTAGGTAACTAGGCGGCCCAATGGTTTGAGCACTGGAGTTGGAGAAGGAGGATTTGAGTTCAGCTTCAGACACTTAACTAGCTGTGTACCCCTGGGCAAATCATTTAATCTGGGTCTACCTTAGTTTTCTTCTCCTCTGTAAAAATGGGGATAATAATAGCACCTAATTCCCAGGGGGTTTTTTTTGATCAAATGAGATAATATTTGTAAAGTGCTTTGTAGACCTTAAAGTACTACATAAAAGCTATTACTGCTACTGCTGCTGCTGCTACTACTACTACTACTACTATTGCTATTACTCCTCTTCCTTCTAATACCATTTCAAAATAATGTTAAGCAAGCTCCTGGAAAACTCCAGCCTGTTATCTGTATTGTTAGCTAGTAGTAATTATTAGTATTATAATAGCTGGCATTTATATAGCAGAACATTATTTAAGATTTGCAGAACATTTTAGAAATGTTATCTTGTTTTATTCTCCCAACAACCCTGAGAGGAGGTGGAAATAGGTTAAGTGACTTGTCCAGAGTCACACAGATAGTAAATGTCTGAGGATAGATTTGAACTCAGGTCTTCCTGACTCCGATTCTACCACTCTATTCATTGGGCCACCTACTCACCTATGTATTCCTTTGTTCCTATTATACTCATTCCCCTATCACAAGTTACTCTTTTACTTAAGGTTGTAGTTTTACTAAAATAGTGACATTATTTGGTGTATACTTGCATTTATAGTGGGGGAGATAGGGTAGGAGGGTGTAAACCACCATTCAGATTAGCATATTACTATTAGGTACCAACATTCTTCTTACCTTCCTTTAGGAGAACAAAGCCTGCTGGGCCATCTGCTTTTTTAATTTAAAAAATAAAACAAACCCCCTCCCCCGCCCCAACAACAAGGTAGTGATTTTGTTGGATAATTTGCACTTAGAACTCATTGTAAAACCTATAAGTTTATTTCTTCCTTGGTTCTCTGCATAATGATCTGCTCTTCAGAAAGATCTCTATCTAGGCTGTGGCTCCTAAAATAGGCAAGCTCACTGTCCCATCTGTTGGTCTGTTAGGAACTTGAAAATGCACAGGAGAAAAACAGACAGCTGCTAATCTTTGAAATGTTACAGCGAAACAGGAATTCTATGTTATGTCACCTGCTTTGTATAAGAACAGTTAAATATACTATGCTGATGTCATTCTGGTTGGCACTGGAATGGAAAGTCAGGAAATTCTAGCTATGATTCTTTTACTCAGCCCCTTGGGAAAGCAACAAGTTTACAAAAGTTGTTTAGATTGTTTATGGGACTGTTCTACTCTTGTGAGACTTAGCCTAGAAACTTTAGTTGGAAATACCAAAAATAATTTTTGAAATCATTCCATTAAAGTTAATCATAATTTTCTTCTTTCCACAGGAAATCACAAATTGACGCAAACAGCCAAAGTAATTATCAAAATCTGTGAACACGAGGTATGTGTCTCCTACTGAATTTCATCCAATTGTGATTATAACTCAGTTCTGAGGGCAAGGTTGGGCTTCTTTGGAGCTTTCAAGACCTCAGAAGTCACCTTAACTTAGTCATCTGATTTGGGATCATTCATGAAGGATTGACTGCAGTTGGTTGTTTGATTTCTAAATGAAGGACAAAGACCTAAGGGAGAAGCTAGCCAAAATATGGTGAAACACACATCCTGTTCCCAAGAGGGCAGATGTTATGTGGCCTTTGTGACGTGATGGAGAGGTCATTGGGCTTTGAGTTTGTTGAATACATGGATGTGATTCTGCACTGTGATGCTTTTAGACATGCAGACTTCTTGAGTTTCGGTTTCCTTAACTGTCAGATGATGATAAATGTGCAACCTACTTTGCAGGATTGTCAGGAAAGTATTCTTTAAGTTGTAAAGCGCTTATAGAAACATGATCGTCTGTTATCAGATAAACACAATAATAACAATAAAAAAGCAATAAAGACCCTGCTCTTTTTCTTTACAGATGAACGAAATTGAAGTGTGTCCAGAATGTTATTTAGCTGCTTGCCAAAAACGAGATAACTGGTTTTGCGAGCCTTGTGTAAGTTGGTGTTTCTTAGCTTAATTATTTTCTAAACTTTGAAGTCCATTGCCACCTACATTGTGAAAGCTTTAGTTTAGGTCCATCACTGTGGGAACTTTTGGGTTGAGACCTGCCCAGGTATAGCCCTATAGATGAGTAGAAAACAAGATTAGAAACAATCTGAGTCTGTTAAGCCCCTTATGCCGTAAGCCATGCCAAATATATCACCATGATCCTTTGGTTTTACTGACATACACCTGCACAGTTGAGTCAGTGCAGGATTCTAATGAAGAGTGTTACTGGTTTATCTTGGGACAGAACATCACACAGAGAACAGAATGAGTGACAAAAAGAGCATTTGCAAGTCCTGTGGTACTTATCATTAGAACATCTGAATGCTTCCCCTGGTCACCCCAGGGTCCATCTAGGCCCACTCTGCTGTCCATGATGGGAGCACCAAGAGTCAGTGGGTGCTGATGGTAACCAGTGTTGGAAGGTTGGGGTTGTCAGAGACCCTGAAACATCCTAGTTTTCCCAAAAAATAACCCTTTATGGGTCTGTCCTGAATGAACCTATTGAAATCCTTCCTGAGCCTTCAGGCTTTCAACACCAAACACAAGGACCCTACATATAGTAGGAACTCTTTAAATAGTGATTAGAAGTTGTTCTTTTTCCCAGTCTATCCTGCTTCCTGAGTGTAATGAATTTAAAAATTCATTTCAAATCCACAAGGGTTTTTTTGGAGTACCTGCTCCATGCAAAGCTCTCTTTAAGAACTCTGGGGTATATAGAAAAAAGTATGGCCCTGGCCTTCCCTTTAAAGATCTTATACTTCTTTAGGGAAGGTAAGGCACAGTCACAGATAAATATCCTGTAGAGTCAGGGGAAGCACTTGAGAAAGGTGTACAGCAAAGGTGTTGTGAGGGTCTGTAAGAGAAAGAAATCTAGTGCCTTCTGCCCATCCTTCAATGGCCAACTCAAGTGATAGTTCTAACATGAAGCCTTCTCTCAACTCCTGCTGTTGGTAGCAATCTTCTCCCTCAAATCTCACAGAGTACTTTGTTTTTCACCTAATACATTTAATTATAGAATATTATGTATTATAGTTATCTATGTTTTTGTCTTATTCCCTTGTTAGAGTGTAAGCTTCATGAGGGTAGGGATTATACCTTATTGTGTTTCTGGGGAGTGCCTAGAATGTTGCTTTGCACACAGTAGGCATATAATAAATGTTTGTTGTATGAATGAGTGTGGGATCAAGGAAAGATATAGGAATTATGGTAGGTGGTATTTCAGGTGAGTTTTCAGGTGTGCTGTGGTGTAAAGAATCCTGGATTTGGAAGAGTTGGGTTCCTGACACTTAATAACTGTATGATCCAGGGAGGCAATTCACCTCTCTCTTGGCCTTAGTTTTTCTCATCTGTAGAATAGTTGGTTAATGATGCCTGGGCTACTTAACTCACAGTATCGTTTTGAGGAAAGTGGTTTAGGAAGGGGAGCTGTTGTTATCCCAGTGAGATCGTGGTGATGTTGGGAAAGGCTTTTGAGGCACTGGGAAGCAGTCTGACCGAAACTCAGGGACAGGAAAGCAGCAGACATGTTGTTGAGGAATTGCAAGTTTGGCTTAGTTTGGTTTCGTGAAAGGAAATTGGTGTACAATGAAACTGGAAAGGTAGGTTGGAACTGGATTGTGGAAGGCCTTATGTACCAAACCGTAGCACATTTGTACCATTCAGGAGGTAGTGAGCCATGGTTAACTTTTGAGTAGTGGAGTAACCGTATCTGAGCTGTAACTTGGAAAAATTCAGCTGGCAGCCAACTGCTGAATCTCGGGATATCATCATGCTTTTGATATTTATTTTTCTTCTTTTTCTCAAATTCATAAAATCCCTGCATCTCCTATTCCTTTTCCTAGAGCAATCCACACCCATTGGTCTGGGCTAAACTGAAAGGATTTCCCTTCTGGCCTGCAAAAGCACTGAGGGATAAAGATGGGCAGGTCGATGCCCGTTTCTTTGGACAACATGACAGGTGGGAGTTTAAAACGATGGGCTTTGAACACATTTTATTAACTGAACTTTTAATGCTGTAATTGGATACTAGAAGGAATTATGGCCATTTCAGCCGCTTATTTTCAAAGTTACACAGTACGCTTGTCTTAGTGTAATGAGAAATAGTTTCTATTTTGATGTTAAACGTTGTCATATGTAGGCTTCATTTTTCCAGGTGTGTTAGAACAGAGTTTGTGTTAGAAGTTCTGTTGATAGTTACCTACATTGGCATTTATTCCAGCAGCTCTTTTAGGTGCTGCCACTTTTAAATTTGTTGTACTAAATATGTATCATTAAGCAATCCACTCATTGTTTTTTCAGAATATTTCTCTTAGGGACAGGAAATGTCCCCTTGTCCTCAATAGATAAACCTGCTAACACTTGCATGATTCTTACTTCATCTTCCCCTTTGTTAAAAGGGGGAGATTAGGTAGTGACAGATATTACTTAGATGGTTGTGAACTACGGTTCTGTTTTCCTGGCTCCCCACCGAACACACACACTTAAAGTGGGCTTCTGCATGTCAACATAAGCCTTACTAGTGGCCCCTTTCCATGTGGCCCTGCTGATGAGAGTTGGTGAAGAGCTCTCCCCAGGGTTGTTTTCATTTTTCTTTAGATTTGGTCTAAATATAGCTCATAGGTCTTCATCTGCTCTCTTCAATCCCTCAGAGGTTTGGGACTGCTGCAACTGCCACCAGGCAAAGGGAAATTATATGAACAACAAAGAGATTTAAAATTAGGCAATATAAGAGAAGAAGTACTCGAGGGAGGAAAACATGGAAACAAGTACAGTCAATTGTTTCACTTTTTAATATGGGCTGTTTCTGAAGTACAGCTCACTTTATGCTTAGTTTATTATAGCCTATACAAATAAAGGAGTAGAATCCAAGAAATTCACTATTTTCTTGGCAAGAATAAACTTACTCTAATTTAGCTTTGTTGTCATTATGATGATAGTGGTTATATCATGCTGTAACACAGTGGTACCCCTGGGGACCTGAGATTTGCAGGGCAGTTTGCCCTTCACTAAATGGACCCAGACAACTTTACAGTTCTTCTCCTTTTCTCCATCATAGTTAGTTGTCTCTTCACAGAGTTTCATTTTTTGTTCTGAATGAAATAAGCCTCTCTTGTGATAGCTTCAGGGATCTTGTTTATTCACAAGGTTCAGGGCTTTGTTTCAATTTGGACTACAGGATTAGTTGGGGTATTACTGTACTTAGCTGAGAAAGGAAGCCATCAACATACTTACCAAAACATTTCAGTTACAAGTTGAATTTATCAGTCTTTCCTTGCCCTTTTTAGTATTTGACTGTGCGCTTTCAATACACTTTCTCTCTCCCTACCCTGCCCTTTACTTGCCCAAGTGTTTTAGCAAATATACCAGTACCTGTGGAGGACTTTCAAAGTGCATTGAAATAGCCCAGTATATCCCACCAAATCAGAGATTCAGGAATTGTATAGTCATCTGCAGAATCTATGAGTATATGCTTTCTTCCATCAAACCGAGAAGTATTTACTGAGTAACTATATGTGAAGACCTTTATTAGGTTCTGCACGGGCTACAGAGATATACATACGTATGACATTGTCCTTGGACTGAAGGAGCCCAAAGACTAGATGGGAAGGTGTAATAGAAACAAAGGAAAAGTTGAATAAATTCAGTAGTAGTTCAAGACAAAGTAAAAGGTGACATAAAGTGGTGAAGTGCCCAGCGGGATGTCTGGGTCCTAAATGCTGTATGAGTCCAAAGAAGAGGGCTGTGGGCTGGGATTGGGAGGTTGGGTCAGAGAAGGCTTCATGGAGGAAGTAAACCTTGAGCTGGGTCTTAATGGAGAGGTAGGAACTGAAGGAGGTTTGGGGAAGGCATTCCAGGGTGGAGATAGAGGTTTGCATCAAGTTGTAGGGGCTGCTTATTATAATTCCCTGAGGATGCTTCTCAGCCCAGGCGACCCCTATCACCTCCTTTTTATCTCTTTTGGCCTCAGGTATTTGACAATCTATTTTCTTTCATTGCTACTGGCTGCCACTTTCCACCCGGTTTCTTCCCCTCCCAAACCTCCTCAGGTTTCTCTTCTGTTTTTCATTTATCTCTGAGAGATGAGGCACACAGCCCTTTCTAGGTTTCTGAGTTTTGGGGTTTTTTTTTTTTCCTCAAGTGTTCATGTGTATGTATTAGTGACTAGAGGCAAAGAGGAACTTAGGAACTTGAGACTCAACAAAAGAGGGAAAGTTACAGGTCAAAAAGCGGTTTTCCAAGAAATGTAAATGGGCTTAAATCAGAGTCCCCTTCAGTGACCCACCTCTTTATTCTTCTCTTTATTTGCCTCCCACCACTTATGGAGAGTTATTTAAATTTATTTAAATTATTTAAGTTAATTTAAATTTCCATAGAGACTTAAAGAAAGGATCAGTAGATGGCCAATGGTGGGCTTGATCCTGTGGGGACTGGGAAACCACTGAAGGATTTTGAGCAGAGAAGTGACATGACTGTAACAGTGTCTTTGTGGAGACTCATCTGGCAGCCTGTGTGAGATGGATTGAAGGGGGAGAGACCAGTTAAGAAACTTTTTGTAATAATTCAGGCTTCTTTCTCCAGAATTTATGCCATCTGAACCCTTTGCCCTTTATCAGACTGTATTTCTCTTAACTACTTACGTTTTTTACATTTTAAATAAGGACCAATTCTCACTCAAGTATTTTCCCTGACAGAAGGCAGCCTTCTCTTTCAAAGTGCAAGTAACACTTCACTTATCCACAGGTCACTTATCCGGCAACCTCACCTATCTGGAACACAGCTGAGAACCAGGAAGTAAGGAAAAAGTTACCTCTGAGCAGCCAAAAGAGATGTTATAAAGTCCATGCACTAAATAAAGCTCATGCACTTTACTCACTGGGGAAGCCCCTCAGGCCCTCCCTCACAGGCTGTTTACTTTTATTTTACACACAGTTCTAACAAGCTTGGTTATATGCCTTCCCACCCTGTAGCTGAGAGGAAGCAGCAGATTAGGAAGCGGGAGAGGGGCTAGTGTAGGTAGGTACACTGAGATGTTCTTCACTTTCTAGTAAAACTGAGAGCAGGGAGGGGAGGCCAGCTCTAGGACCAGCCCATTTGAGGCTCACACCCCAACCACAGCAGCAGCGATGACACGTGGCCCTTCCTAGTCATTGACTCAGCTGAACCTAAGCCAGATCATCAGTACTGCAGAGACCCCCTGCTGCTGCCGTTGCCACGGATGCAACTATCCTCACCTGGGCTCATAGGGAGCACAAGTGGTGTGGGTGGGAGGTTGTGCAGCTTGGGACACACTACACAAGCAGTCTGAAGCTTGAGGGACTGTTTGTCTATTGTGATGAGGATTGTTCTGTATGTATGCAAGATGCCATTTCAGAGCCTCAGTGGTAGAAAGCTTGGTCACTGGGAGAAAAGGTTGAGAGTCCTAGGTTGAGAGGATCAGACACTGACATTTGGAAGGGACCTTAGAGGTGAGGAGAAGATGTTTCTCAGATCCCACTGATGTTACTGTGCTAGGTGTCTTCCCTAGTCCACATGCCTGAACCCTAGCCGAGTTGTATTGGATTATGGTGTTTTGAGCTTTATAATAAATAGAAGTTTTTATAAGTTTATCGGTTATGTTTTTTTTATCTAGAGAGAAAGTGATTAATACTAATCTTACTTCTAAATGAATTGTTTGTTAAGATTAAACTATTGAAGAAAATTGTATTTTTTTAAATAGAAAAAATATTTTCTGCATTTGGTGAAAAAGTTATTAAGCTAGTTAGCTAGTTTGAATTAAGTAAAAATTACCTTGGAATACAAACGTAATTGACTCAGACTTGTCCCTTTTCTTTTTTTGCTCCCTTTGCACATATAGGGCCTGGGTTCCAATAAATAATTGCTACCTCATGTCTAAAGAAATTCCTTTTTCTGTGAAAAAGACTAAAAGCATTTTCAACAGCGCAATGCAAGAGATGGAGGTATATGTGGAGAACATTCGCAGAAAGTTTGGTGTATTTAATTACTCCCCATTCCGGACACCATACACACCCAACAATCAATTCCAAATGTTACTAGACCCTGCAAACCCTGGGGCTGGGACTGCAAAGACAGATAAACAAGAGAAAATCAAACTGAATTTTGACATGACGGCATCGCCGAAGATCTTAATGAGCAAACCCTTGCTGAGTGGTGGCACCGGCCGGAGGATTTCTTTAACTGACATGCCAAGGTCCCCCATGAGTACAAACTCTTCCGTTCACACTGGCTCGGATGTTGAGCAGGATGCAGAAAAGAAGGCAGCTTCCAGCCATTTCAGTGCAAGTGAAGAGTCCATGGACTTCCTTGAAAAGAGCACAGGTAAGCAGTGGATAAATGATAGGTGTGAGATGGAAATGACCCCTCACCTGGAAACTTACTTTGCTTACTGGAAAATAGGCTGGCATAATGGTTTACCTGGAGAGTTGGCATTTCAGAAACATTTAACCAGATTTCTACTCTTGGGAGAGTGGGGAAAAAAAAGTATCCCATATTATTGGCTCTCACTTACATTACAAGAGTAGTTTCTCACTCCCCTAAACCTGTAATTTTGAGTACCTCTTTATAGCTAAAGTGATTATAAATGAGGGAGCAAGATGCTGGACTATTAAGAGTCAGAAAGACCTCAGTTTGAATCCACCTTCAGAGCTTACTAGCTGTGCGATGTTGAGCAAGGCACTTAACTCAGCTTCAGTTTCCTCATCTGTAAAATGGGGCTAAAATAGCATTGGCTTCACAGGATTATTGAGAGGATCAAATGAGATAATATATGCTCTTTGCAAACCCCAAGGGGCTCTGTATACTATATAAATGCTAGGTCTTAATAGTGGTTCCTTGGGTCATATACATTGAATGCATTCCAAAAACACATCCTGAAAGAATTGTGTATTTTTTAAAAAAAACTTTTATTTTCAATTCTAAATTCTCTCCCTTCCTGCCCCCACTTATTGAGAAGACAAGAAATGATACCCATTATACATATGAAGTCACATCAAACATATTCACATTAGCCATTTGAATCGTGCGTATTTTCAATCCACAAATACATGTTTTTCACGTTCTCCCTGTTTTAAGTCTGTCTTGTAATGCCACTGGCACAAGTTGCTCAGTTGTTAAGTTGAATCTAACTCTTCTGTGACCCCATTTGGGGTTTTCTTGGCAAAGATACTGGCGTGGTTTGCCATTTCCTCTTCCAGCTCATTTTACTGATGAGGAAACTGAGGCAAACTGGGTCAAGTGACTTGCCCAAGGTCACCCAGCTAGTAAGTGGCTGAGGCCAGATTTGAACTCAGGAAAATGAGTCTTCCTGACTTTGGGCCTGGCATTTTATCCACTGCAACACCTAGCTGCCTCATTGGCACAAGAGCATTGATTAAAAAAGGGTGAGAAGATATGAAACTCAAAATCAGTCAATTTTACTACTTAAAATTAGGCCCTTTTAAACCTTAAAGATGATTTTCTTTAGTAAAATCCTACTCCGTTGCCTCATAATGATGTGGTGGTGACCCTGCCTCTATCAAACTGGAAGCAATTCTGGTCATGGGAGCTGTGATGGACAATGCCTTTCAAAGAATGTCGATTAATTCATTCAGCTGCACTTCAGAGTTCCATGATATTGTTGGTGCAGGTACACCCTTTCCTGATGACAGATGCCAACCATCCTTTGCCTTAGTAGATAATCTTCAAAAGCCAGCCTGGCATTGAGCCATCTCTAAGTTTAGAGAGGCTGGTTTTCATCCTGACCTTGAAGCCTTTTCAGCTTGGCAAGATTTGCTAGAACTTGTACTCCACTGGAAGGTCTTTGAAACTTTAGGGTCATTTTTATGCCACGAGGATATATTGGAGAAAGACTTCAGTAGAGAATTCATTCAAAAGAATACAAGGTTAGAATGTGAAAAAAGGGGTGGTTGTGGAGGATGTCTCAGAGGATTAGTTTTGTGACTATGGACATAAAACTAGTAGTTGATTTAAGTGAGGTCCTAAAGTAGGTCCTGAGCAAAAGGAGAGCTTTTTGTTTGGGGACTGAGGAGCAGAGAACCATTAGTTGATTATCTTTAGAATTCTCTTTAGCTTGTTAAGTAAACTGCTGCCATCTGCCCTGCTGAGTTTTCATTCATAATCTCCCATGCAACCCTTACTAACTGCCTCCTTAGGACTAATCTTAAGGGGAGACTGTTAAGCTACTAAACCTATTATAGTCCAGTTAGGCAAATTCTTCTTTATTAAGCATCTCTCACACACGCCTGAAGTCCTGTTTCTCAGTATCCTCAGTCGTTAACACTGGTGTTGCTTAATGACAGAACCTTCAGTACACTTGAGATCCCATGTCTTAATGGAAATTATTCTGGCTTTGGACTTAAAGAGGATCTTGCCCCTGATCCTGAATCTTCCATTTAATAATTTGGGACTCAATTTCCTAATTTGTAAAATGAAGGGGTTGGAATAGATGATTTTCTAAGGTCCCTTACTATTTGGTATCTGTGAGCCTATGGTCGCTATTCAACTTTAACCATCTGAAAATGCTCCATAGATATTTGGGGTAAGGTCTACAGTTAGTTCTTTTTTAGTAATTTAACCCTGCCTTAATTATTAGTGGCTTTTTTTTTAAACTGTAGAAACTATTATCATATATAGAGGAAGCTGCTGGAGGATTAAGAGAGACAAGCGCATAGCTAATAAGTAGTAGATTTTGCCTTGAGCCTTTTCGTTTCTAGTTCTTGGCTATATATAAAATGTCTTTTGCAGATGATCTCAAATTGAAGTTTAGCAGGGAAGTGGAAGGGTGGAGTTCCTTATGTGTGGGAGTGTTGAGCCAAGTGTCTGCTTGAATAAGTCCTCCCCCTCCCCCCCACTAGAATCTGAGCCACCACCCACAAAGGGCAGAGCCAAAGGGGTGAATCATTGCAGCTGCCCCACTGCCTGAGGAAGACCTCGGGAGAGCAGTGACAGATTGAAACCTCCCTGGGCTTTGGGACTTTGCTCACTGAGGCCCTTGCTCCACTGCCCTGAGCTTTGCCTTCTGAATGGGAATAGCCACTGTTCACCAGTGCCCCCTGTAGTCACAAACCCATCTCATCTGATTTTTAAAATTTCATAAGTGCTTAATACCACTTTACCCACTGGTTTGCATACCCAAGTCATCCTGCTTCTGTATATTTATCAGAATGAAACAGGAACAGTTAGTAATAATAAAACTCATATTCATTTACTTACTAGTTTATTCTTTGTCATGGATGGAATAGTCAAAAGTTAATCTTGGTCCAGTGAGGCTGACTTGTGGCCTTCTTAGTTCCAAGAAAGTGCCCTGGGCACCAGAAAAAGTCAGTGAAATGTGTATTGACTAACTAGGCTGGGAGGTGGGGGTGAAGTAATGAGAATTGGTGTCTGGAATAACTGCTCACCTGAGGCAGCTGGGGAACCTCAGAGGCTTCCTTGATGTGTGACCCCAGACAAGTCATTTTACCTTTTCCAGTATCGGTTTCCTCTTCTGTAAAATGGGCATAATAACAGCACCTACCTACCTCTGGATATTGTTAGGATCATTTGAGATAACAAGTATGGGGTGCTTTTCAGCATTAAAGCACTTAAATACTATCCTTTTCCTCCTCCTCCTCTTCCTCTCCCTCCCCCTTCCCCCCATAACCTTCTGATAAGAGGTACCTTACTGTTCTAACCCCTAACTTCCTCACCTGCAAAATGGGGACAATAGCGCCTACCTTAGTTATGGGTATCAAATGAGATAATAAAGGCCATTCCAGAAGTCCCAGTGCAGTTTTAAGCTTTTAAAAGCTAGTAAAACTTAAGCATGCACAAAGACTTTTGGGACACTCGGTATCTGTAAAGTGCTTTTGCAAACCTGAAAGAATCGTATAAGTATGAGCTGTGATGATGGTGATGATGATGATGATATTGTATAGTCATTATTACTGTTAGATTGAAAGACCTGAAAAATGGCAAGGGTCTCTCTTGTAGGATAGAATTTTCCCATCGAAAAAATAGGAATTGAAAACACCAGGGGCAAGCTTTTATTAAGTGCCTACCTACCATGTGAGGGGAACAGCCCTGGGAGAGATAGAAAGCTAAATAAGAAAGAGTGTTGTCCCTGATATCTGGAAGTCTAGTTAGGACTTAGCTAGCATCCCTTATTTTATGTATGTGGGTGTTCCCTCTGGAACCTGACCTCCTGAAGGTGCCTTTTCCTGAGTTAGGGTGGTTCCTCTTCCCCCTCCCCCTTCCCTTATTCCTCTTCTTTCCTCTTCCTTTCCTTTCCTCCCTCCGATGTTTATCACCTGGTAGCCAAGCCTCTCCACTCTCAGCTTGGCTGCTTCTGAGGACGGGAGGTCCTGAAGCTTTTTCATCTTGGTAGGTCCTAAGATCATAAAGATTTAGAACTGAAAAGGATTTAGTCTGCCTATCTTATTTTACAGATAGGGAAACTGGGTTACAGATTAGTTAAGGGACTTGCCTGAGGCCTCAGAGAAGCAGTAATAGAGCTAGTGTTCTGCCTTTTCTCCTACACTAAACTGCGGGCTCTTGGTTCAGCTTTACTGGTCTCTGAGAACCTAGGGACACATCCATTGCTGGACTTTAGGGGAGACAGACACATAAATAACTAATATAAAAACAACAACGAACCTAAGTGGTAAGTGCCTAGGGAAGATAGATCCTAAAGTCACTAATACAAAGCAGAACATAAGTGCGTACAAGAGGTTAAAACCGAGATGGTATGATAGATTGCAGGAAGGGAGAGAAACCTGGGGTTGTCTGGGAAGGATTCTTGGAAGAAGTGATCTTTGAAATGGGCCTTGAAGGAAAGGAGCAGGACCTGAATGGGTCAAGAGAGGAGATAAGGCATTCCAGGCCTTGTTTCCTAAACATGAAAATGTGGCTGCCTCTTTGCTTTAGTCCTTTCTCTCCAAGAGTAAATTATGGTGAAAAAATTAATTTGCCCTTGATCAGCTTTCATCTTTAACAAATGATGACTGTGCTGTCTTCCTAGCATGCAGAATGTTTTTACGTATGGAGGGGAGATGTTTGAGAAATAGCTTTTTAAGTGTGATAGCCCTAAGATTCTGCCTGTTTATAGCTACTTGGCTTTTGGAGTCTAACAATTGTCTGTTGAGCTGATGAAAAGTAAAGGAGAGTTGTTTTGTAGAATTTATATAGCATCAGTTTTGGGTGAGTGACTGAAAATTCAATTTAGTCCTTCCTGCTCTGTGAGGTTAGCTTTTCTTGTGAATATCAGGTGCTTTAGATAACATGTTGAAGCCTTTCCAAAGAAAGTGAACTTTTTTTTTCTTTTAAAAAGAATGTTAGGCAGTTAGGTGGTACAATTGAGAGAAGACTGGCCCTGGAGTCAGGAGGACCTGAGTTCAAATGTGGCCTTAGACACATAACACTCACTAACTGTGTGACTCAGGGCAAGTCACTTAACCCCAGTTGCCTCACCATAAACAAACAAATAAATAAATAGAATATCGTCCCAGAGAATTTTATCTTAGGCCTTTCTGAGGGGTGTAATGTACCAGCCACAGGAATGAAATATGTTAATTCTGTTTGATCTGATGCTAGGATTTAAATTTATTTAAGTAAGGAATCTCGGGGGACAGCTAGGTGGTGCAGTGGATGGCGTGCTGACCGTGGAGTCTGGAAGATCTGAGTTCAAATGTGGCCTCAGACACTTACTAGTTGTATGACCCTGGGCAAGTCACTTACCCCTGATTGCCTCAGTTTCCTCATCTGTAAAACGAGCTGGAGAAGGAAATGGCAATCCACACCAGTATCTGTTGAAAAAACCCCAAATGGTGTCATGGAAGGTTGGACATGACTGAAACGACTTAACAACAGAAAAGAATCTTTAGCCATTTATTCTTAGGTGTGTTAATTTCCGTGCATCTTACATCGAAAATAATGTTGTTTTCATCTAATTTTCTGTGCATTACAAATAACAGATTTTGCGTTGAAATTCGATTAGTAAATGTTTGTAAGGGGGTGGGGTGGGGGAGAAAGACTTGACCAAGGTAAAAAAGAGAATACATTGAGTTGGCATTTGAACTCAGTTCCTATTTACGAATCCAAGGCTCTTTTTCATTGTCCCTTTTCTGTCTGAAGAGTACTAGAAGCTGTTTGTGTGGATATTTATTTAGCCAAAGGCAGTATCTGGGGCCCCTTTCCCCTATTTTCCTATGGGGCCCAAATTTGGTTGTAGTTGGCATCTTAGACCAAGTAAATGGCATTCATAATTGGGAACTCAAAATATTCTCAAATGGTTAGCTCCGGTCAGGTGTGCCGATGGGTGTGTTTTTCGGAATTTGGGATGGGCCTTGCAGACTTGTTTTACAAACAGCTGAGATGTTGAACTATTTAATAGGGGCAATATTTGTTAAAAAAAATTTTTTTTCTTGGCACTTCCAGAACCATAGTCATTTTCATATAATCTGTATTTACTCTGAGATTTCCACATATTATTTGGGTTAACCTGATTTCACTTGGAGCTTAGATGATTTGTCTTAGAGTTTTGTGGTTCATAGAATAACCAGGGGTCTTCCATTCGGCAGCTTTGTTTGTGGCCTTTCCTTTAAAAAATAAGATGCAAAACACACTGATCCCAGTCAGATTATAGGCATTTTCATTGCTCTATCTTTCCTTTAAGATTTGACTTGTTAACTGAATTGCCTCTGTTTTTTTCAGCATCTCCAGCTTCCACAAAGACAGGCCAAGCAGGGAGTTTATCCGGCAGCCCGAAACCTTTCTCTCCACAAGCTTCAACCCCTCTCCCGGCGGCCAAGCCAGAGAGAGCCTCCACTCCTGGAAGCATTCTGAATCTGAACCTCGGTCAGTTCTGACCTTCCAGTGCCTTGTGGTGGGATGATTGTATGTATGCTCGTGTGTTGTGAAAGTTCAAAAAAAGAACCAAAGCCAAGTTTAATCTTCCTTTGTACCACCTTTGTTTAGTGTTGCTGGATTGGGAATGGAATTTAGAGGGACTAAGAAAAGAATGAATGAAAAAGATGTCCCTGAACACTTCTCTCACACTGTAAGGGCAAGCGTCAGAGAGCGGGGAAGGGGAGTAAACATTTATTAAGTGGTGTGCCAGGCACTATGCTAATGGCTTTACGAATATTATCTCGTCACATGAGCTCATTTGGTTGGCTCTGAGGCATCCAAGGATCATAAACGAAAACCATTTTCTTAGCACAATGGAGCCTATTTGAATTGTGATTGTTTTGTTATAATTTTTATTTTTTGGTGAGGTGATTGGGGTTAAGTGACTTGCCCAGAGTTACACAGCTAGTAAATGTCAAGCGTTTGGTCTGAGGCTGGATTTGAACTCAGGTCCTCCTGACTGCAGGGCCGATGCTCTTTGCACTGCGCCACCTAGCTGCCCCTGAACTGTGATTGTTGCTGACATGATTTTAAGGGATAATCTAGTCCTTCTTTTAATTTATGGAGGAACTCCTCTGTGAGCCCTAGCGGGGAGGGATTTGAATTGTCCTGGGTCTTAGGCATCCAGTGAATTGGAGGAGGCAGGACGAGAATTCAGATCTTTTTATGTCTGTTCCTCTTTCTATCACTCAGATCTCTAAATCTTATCTCTCGGTGGGGCATCACTGCTATAATCTGAAAATGCATGTGGTTGGCTTGTTACCTAAGAATAACCATCTTGTGATTCTATACTCGAATAGATAGGGGTCCTTCTGGCCAGGTTTAGAAAACCCTCATTTTCCTGACAGTGTTATTTCTGCCAACCCACTGTGATTCCCACTCTTTTCTATTTTTTGTCCAACTAAAGAAAAGAAACAGTTTTTTTAAAAGGCTGTGGTGGGGTGGAAGAACACCCATGCGGATGTTTTTTCTGTACCAGTTGTGTGGTAGGAGCAGGTTCCTGTGGTCCTTTGTCACCTGTGACTCAGTGGGCCTTTTCATCTGGATAGAAGCCGTATTGGGAGTGAGTTTCTTTTTGTCCTTTAGACAAGTGGGAGGCCCATCTGAACCACAGAGGCCAAAGACTCTTTTAGTTTGGCAACACTTCTGGATTTCCTGTAATGATTGATTTGCCTTTGAAGGTTTTGTTGAGTAGGGGGACTGTCTGTTGAGTTGCTGTTCAGTTCAGTTTTTGAATTGATCTGCAGTCTGCGTTGGCATTCCAGAATAAGAATGTTTATACATATACACACATTTTATTTATCTATATCTCTTTACAGCCCCATATACATATACACATACATATGTGTGTTTGCATATTATATATGTATATCTATAAATAGTTGTATATGTATAAGTATATGTGAGATGGGTAGAATGATTATTTTTTATTCCCATTTTACAGCCAAGGACACTGAGGCTGAGAGAGGTCTTAGATTCTTAGCAATTATCTAGTCCCACCCTCCTCATTTTACAAAGGAGGACTGTGAGGCTCAGAGAGGTGGATTGATTTGTGCTAAGAGACACAGCCCAGGGTTTGAGCAGATGCTTGCTGATTCCAGATTGTGTAGTCCTTCTGCCCCATGATAAAACTTTCTCCTTTGGAATGACTTGTTCAAGGCATGTAAGTGGTGAGGAAGGGCTAAAACTCGGGTCTTCTGACTTTAAGGCAAAGTTGTTCTCTCTTCTGCCGTACTACAGACCTCTCGTTGGTGACCGTTCTACAGTGGACTTGGATGTACTTTGGGAGGGGTTTGATAAAATCTCTTGGGGAGCTGGGAGAGACCCTAGGCGGTCATCTAGGGGGTCCCTAGCAAGTCCCAGGGTGGTGACCGTAGTTTCCTTATTGTATGAGACCAGAGAGACAGGCAAGGAAAGTTTGGAAGGGAGGCTGGTGGTGCACCCGATAATGTGTCTGGCTGTCAATCAGCAGATCTCGAGTTAAGTTGCTGCGCGTCAGAACAGGCAGCATGGAGCATTAGAGTGAGCCATGGAACCCTGGCTGTGCTACATGTGACCTGGGTTAAGTTATTTCCCCTCTTTGAGAACTCCGTTGTTTACTCTGTAACACAATGGGTGTGGGTGGGGTAGGAGAGATGGGCTAGGATACCTGGGTTCTAGTTCTGGCTCAATCTCTGGTGTGACCTTGGGCAGATCTCTTCTTTTCTGTGGGTCTCAGTTTGTTTCCCTATACAGTGATGGGATTGGCTCAGATCTCCAGGGCATCCTCTGCAGCTGATGGTAGAGAGTGCTGGTCATAGGCAGGAAGGCCTGAGTTCAGATCCATCCTCAGACATTTACTAGCTCTGTGACCCCTTTGGGCAAGTCACTTAATTTCTGTTCACCTGTTTCCTTATCTGTAAAATGGGCATAATGTTAACTCCCACCTCCCAAAGTTGTTTTGAGGATCAAATGAGATAATGTTTGTTAAAAAGCACTTAGCACGTAGAAGGCACTCTAGAAATGCTTATTTATGCCCGTCTCCCTTTTCTCCCTTCCTGATATTCTGTGGCTGCTATATAAATGAACTTTTTTATTTTTAATTTTTGTAAGTGACTGTAATATGGAACAAAATTAATCTTCGCTTCCCTTTGGTCTGTTTCTAATCTGGCCTCTTATCTTCTAGCTGTTTACCTTTAGTTAAACTAAACTCAGGAGTTCATTAGCACTGTGATCAAAAGTTGCCTTTCTGCCCTGAGAGCACATAGGGGTTGCTGACCTTAAGTGAATGGAATGTGGTTTAGTCCTGTAAATTCCCCTGGGTTTGTTCATCTGCTGTTCCAGGAAGACTTTTCATTGACCTATTGAAAAAGCAAGACCCTTGAGGCAGGGATGGCTCTTTCTGGTTTGTTAGGTGAGTCTTCAAGACCTTCAGCTGGACTTAGAGCCTGAAGAGAACCTTCCTTTCCTGGTTTCCATCCTGGCCAAGGAAGGTAGTCAGGAAGAGCTTTGGGAAACAGTGAATTGATGGGTAGGACTCTCTCTGTCAGTGGTCTCCTTGGACAGCAAGCTTATTCTCTAGACCAGCTATTGCACTCTTTGGTCATCTCCAATCATGAGGCCTTGGAGCTTTCTCCAGAGCACAGGTGTTGTGGGTGGGGCTGGAAGAGGTGTGTTCTGATGTTCTCTGTTCCCATTCGGAATGGAAGCTAGACTGATCACTGTTCAATAAGAATGAAATGGTTGGCAATAGAGGCTTGACCCCAGAGTGTCAGGGTCATGTGTGTTTCAGACAGAATAGCGTTAGGGAGTTGCTGACTGATTGATTAGGAGAGGCAACAGCTGAAAGGGAAAACTTGGCAAGAGGGAGGAGGAAGACCTGGCATGTTCCAAGTTGGGGGTGGGGGGGGAGGAGTGCTGGGAAGATTATCCTCAAGAGACTTTTGGCTGGGGAACTTCAGAAGCTTTCTTTTTGCCTGCTTCTACAGGTAGATGCATTTGGGAGGCTTTGGAAGAATGAATGTAACAGAATAATAACAGTAGCAACAATTAGAATGATAGCTAGCATTCCCAGGCACCTTAAAGTTTGCAAAGTGAATTACAAATATTGTCGCATTTGATTCTCACAGTATGGAGGTGGGTGCTCTTATTCCCATGTTACGGAGGAGGAAACTGTGGTAGACAATGCTGGGAGGTAGGAGATGAAGCTGAGGTAGACTTAAGTTTCTTGCCCAGTCACACAGCTTATAAGTGTCTGAGGCTGGGTTTGAACTCAGATCTTCCTGACTCCAAGTCTATTGTGACATCTAGCTGCCTCAGTTTCCTTACTGCTGGGGGAATCCTTCTTTTCCTCGGGACTCCCTTCCCTTCCATTCTTTGTGATTTTTCCTAAAATGATGGAGCTTTTTTGTGTTTCAGGTTTAAGTCAAAAGTTCACTCCTAAAATAGAGTTCGCTATTCCTGATGAATGCTCTTCAGCAAATGTCTTCTGCTAATTTAAAACTATTAAGTTTCATAAAGGTCAGAATATCCTTTATAATGAAATGTATGAGTTGTACGAATTAGGAAAGACTTTTTCTGTGAGAAGAGGGGAGATTAATGATGAGGTAATGATAAGAAAACTAGCTCACATTCTTGTAGCATTTTAGGGTTATAAAGCACTTTTTATCATGCACACCTTCATGAGAGGAAGTGTGATGGAATGGTGAGATAAGTTATGACCCAATGTGTGACCTCTAGCCAATTAATTAACTTCTCTGGGCTTTAGTTTCCTCATCTGTAAAAATGGAAGTATTGGCCTTGATGACTTCTGAGGTCCTTCCAGCTCAATCTAATTAGGTCCTCTGACTTTGGGAATGTAGGATCTGATATCTCACCAACAAGGCAGTGGGCTAAGTGGAGAGGGGGTGCCCATCAGGTGGCAAAGAGCTTTGCTCAGAGGAGTTTATGGTGAACCAGAGAGGGTGATGGACCACTTTACCATTCAGAATTCCCAGGTGGTTTTAGAAGAAGCAGGCGAGCCAGGAGTTTGATTGGGCGTAAGGCAGCAGTGAAAATTATAGGCAAGGAACCCCAAGGACAAAAGTTGGGGTGTGTTGAGGGGAGTGGCACTTGGGCTGAGGACTCTTGGGTCATTTGGGGATTAAAGAGAGGCTTCTGCTACATATTATTTTGTGAATGCCTAAAAGCATTCTTAAATGCTGGTGCTCCCTGCTTAGAATCCTAGAACCGCGGAACCTGAAGGAATCTGAAGTCCCAGAACATAGGGGGACAAAGCGCACAGGGCCCATAGAACATTGGATGTTCTAGCTGGCAGAGAACTTAGAACTGAATTCTAGAGCCAGGATCTTACAGACCATTTGGTCCAGGAGTCCATAAATGTGGAGGGGTATGGAGGGGGAAAAAAATTACACCTTTATTTTCACTAACTTCTAATGGAAGCATTTCTTTCGATTATGAATGTAGGCAGCACCTTTCTGAGATGGGGTTCATAGGTTTCACCAGACTGCCAAAGGAGTCTGACTCACAGAAAATTTAAGAATGTTTGATCCTACTCCATTTCTCTAATTTTACAGAGAAAAAACTGCCCCCCCCCCCCGGCAATTTTGCTCAGGGCTATGCAGGTAGTGTTTAAACCTGTTTCTCTTAGTTCCTAATTCTTCTTGGATACTTAGTCTAAGACTTCATTTATCAAGCTTCCAAGCTGATCTTCTTTTGGGAGTGGAGAAGGGTACATAGGGAGGGATTTAGATGATCAGATCTCTTCTTTGAGAGCCTTAGAGGTTCTGGAGCCTAGAGAGTTCTCCTGGGTAGTAGATGGAGAGGGATTGATGCTGGGGTGGAGCCCTGTTGTTTAGGTAAGGGAAAGCCCTGTGGAGGTCTTTGGTAGGCAGGACTTTGAGAGGCCCAGATAGAATCTTTCTAGTCTTCTTTCCATCCCTTTTTTACAACATGTTAGAGACTTCTTGGGTAATTGGATGGACTGAGTGGCAACTTGGTTTAGAGCAGTGAAGGCTGTACCAGTAGACTGGAGATGTGGGCACGGGTCACTCTGACTTTGGGTAACTCATTTGACATCTACCACTCACTTTCTTCATGTATAAAATTGAGGAGTTAGAGTAGGAGGAGTTCTTAACCTGGAGTCTGGAGGAAATTAGATACTGGACCTGGAGTCTGGCAGACCTGATTTCAAATCCAGCCTTAGATACTTAGTAGCTGTGTGATCATGGGCAAGTGACTTAACCTTAGTTTCCCTGTCTATAAAATGAGGATAATGATAGCACCTACCTCCAGGGGTGGTTGTGAGCTTCAAATGGGATAAATAGGTTAAGTGCTAAGCACAGTGCCTATGTGTAGTAGGTACTTAAATGATTGATTAATTTGTTAACTTGTTTGAATTTAAGCACCTTGAAATAAATTTCTCTCTTGGTAGTTTTTGTGTCTTTGAGATGATGGTACAAATACAGAATAGAATTTAATTCTCTAATTCTTGATCTGCTCTAAGTTGATTTTGCTGGAGTTCTTTAAGTGGCACCATTGGTACTGAGCATTGCTGGTGAAGTTGCAAAGTAATTTAGGGTAAAGTAACTCTATAATAACATGTCTTTCAGATCGGAGCAAGGTGGATATGGACCTGAAAGAACTGAGTGAGTCCGTTCAGCAGCAGGCAGCCCCGGTGCCCCTCATCTCACCCAAAAGGCAGATTCGAAGCCGGTTCCAGCTTAACCTTGACAAGACCATAGAGAGTTGCAAAGCACAATTAGGTATGTCCTGGCCGTGGATCAAAACGGCGCTAGGGTGAAGCCTGTTTCTTTTAAGAGCCAGAGGTTAGGTTTTCACTCTAGGCAAAACTCAAGTGGATTTCCTCTGTGGTCAATTATTTGTCAGCCATTGGTTAATAATTACACAGGAAGATAATTTGATCCAAACCAGGGGTGGGTTGTTCTTTCACTGGAAGGTACTTAATATGCAAAGGAAGCTTTCTTCTAGGAAAATTGTTTTCTTTTTAAAATCTTATCAGCTCAGGATTTTCCATGCCAGTATCTTAGCAACAGTGTGTATTTGGCATTGAATGTCACCTTTTTGCTCAGTCCTGGTCTGTTTATTAGACCCTGAATCTGCCCCATGGGTGTATGGGGCACCTCTGGTGCAGGGCTGCTCGTCCATCTTTGGTGTCCACTTGTCACCCAGCTCTCACCTGTGGCTCCAAGAAGTTGTAGCACATGCAATGATGACACCCTGGGAAAACCATCTTGTCAGAAAGGCTAACCCTGGTTGAGGGTAACTGACAAGCCTCAAATTCATCAGTGAGTTAGGGGGATGTCCACCTCAAGCATGTGAAGACTTCCCCCAGCGGAATGGGAGAATGAGAACAGTTGATTCCAGTGGCCGTGAAGATGGCTGAAGCAGGCTCTATGGAGCACTTAGAGCTTGGGCAGACATCAAAGACACCAAGGTCATCCACTGCATCCTGGGCTATTGCCAGTCTTCTCGACTTTTGGCCTGTACCTGGACTTTGATGACTTTGGAAGAGAGAGTGAAGCTGACGACTTTGCACAGCTCTGCCTCACTTCAATCCAATTCACACGCGAGTCAAGGCATCTGTGTCATTGGTCTTCGAAAACAAGGATAAACAAGGCTGCCTCAGTATTCTTCTGCCACGCTTCAACAAATCAGCAGAAGTGTGGTGTGGTGGATAGAGTGCTGGCTGTGCAATGAGGAAGACCTGCATTCAGGCCATGCCTCTGATACAGCTCTGTGACCAGGGGGCAGGTCACCTAATCTCCATGGGCTTCAGTTTTCTCATCTGTAAAATGAGGAGGTGGGGAGGTTAGACTCGGCTGCTTCTAAGGTCTCTTCCAGTTCTTAATCTAAAATCTTAGTGCTTGGAGTTAAGGAGTTTTGAGTTCAATTCCCAGCCCTGCCACCTTGTAACCTGTATGACCTTGGGCAGTTTGACCCACTGGGCTTCCATTTCCTTGGCTGCAGAATGGGGGTGGGGCATTGGACTGGATTAGTGGTTCTTCAGGTATTAACCACCTACAGTGTGCTAGGCACTGAGAACAAGTAGAAAAAAGGGAACAATCCCTCCTGGGAAAAGTGCTTCTGTTCTAATGAGGGAGATAATAAGGATATATATATATATATAAATGCAGATACAGCCTAAATATACAGTGATTAAATACCCATGGTTAAATCCAGGGTAGTTAGGGAGGCCATTAGCAGTTGGATTCAAGATGCTGAAGATGGCTTGAGCTGCCTCTTAAAGAAACAGAAGTTCTCTAAATGTCCTCTTAAGGTTTCTTAGAGGTCTGATCCAGTGGCTACACAGTATTTACCCCTTATTCTTTTCTCTCCCGCTGCCAGCCCCCAACCTACTTAATGCCAGTTCCATCCTTTCCTGCTTTCTCTTCCCTCCTTTCTCCAAACCAAAATACTTTTCCCTTTAATTGGCCTCCTTAAATCCTACCCCATCTTTAAGGTACTTAAAGTGCTACTTTGGTGGTGAAGCCTTCCCTAGCTCTCCCATGCTGTGGACCCTGAGCTTTCTGTTCTGAGGACCTGTGGCTCTTCTTGGGTACACTGTAGAGGTTACAGGAATCAATCATATACTATCCTGTTTTCTTATTTAATGAAGTCCTGTCTCTCCAGCTAGACGTAAACACTTTTGCAAAAATATCAAGACACATATTTATAAATTTTAAAAAAAAATTATTTTTAGCATTCATTTAAAAACATTTTTGAGTTCCAAATTCCCTCTCTCTTTCCCTACTGATTAATAAGGCAAGCAGTATGATAGCAAATATCTATATCTATATCTATATCTATATCTGTATCTGTATCTGTATCTATATCTATATCTATACCTATATCTATATCTATATCTGAAATCATGCAAAACATATTGGCCACCTCATAGTCATCATAGTTGATAAGTTGAATCACCTGAAGTCAGTAAGCATTTATTAAGCACTTGCTGTATGCCGGACGCTGTTGTTTTATACCTGATAGGTGCTCAGTGAAGACTTCCTGAATCTCTGACTAGAAAAGTATTAGGGCCAGTAGTGTAGAACTTCATGCGTGTGCTCCAGAATGGGTCTAGAATGAGTGTGAACATTGGATGCACACGGCCCAAAGGGAGACATCATCATGGTGGAAGCTCCTGTCCCTTTTCTGACAGCCAAAGTAAGCCAGGAGGCCTGGGTTCTGTCCTTAACCCACTGGGTGACCTTCAGTAAGTCGAATCCCTTCTGTTGGCTATGCAAACCTAACAAATCACTTCCCTTTTTCGAACCTCATTTTCTCTCCCTGTAAAATGAGAGGTTTAAGCTAGATGATCAATAGAATTTCTTATAGTGCCTAAGCTTTCATGATTTTTAGATGTATATAAATCAGTAAGATTTTATCAAGTACCTACTCTGTGGTAAACACTGGGGATAATAATGATGATGATGCTAATGATAGCTAGCATTCATATAGCCTTTTAAAGTTACTTTACAAATGTTATCTCATTTGATCCTCACAACAGCCCTGGAAGACAGGTGCTGTTACTATCCCCATTTTATAGATGAGGAAACTGATGTTGAGCAAGATTAAGTGACTTGCTTGTTGTTGCACAGCTAGTCAGTGTCTGAGGCAGGATTTGAACTTGGGTCTTCTGAATCCAGGGCCAACATTCTACTTCACCACCCAGCTGTGTATAGATAAATAGAATGAGGTGATTCCAGCTCTCAAGGATTCTCAACATTCAGACAGGAGGAAGATAGGTATACGTGTAAGTGTACACGGAACATAGTTTTACAGAGGGCATTCTTTCTGGCAACACTGTAAGGTGGTAGTACTTGTAGTATTCTATTTCTTTTTTTTTGGTTTGTTTTTGTTTTTTGCTGAGGCAGTCTAGGTTAAGTGGCTTGCCCAGGGTCACACGTCTGAGGCCAGACTTGAAAGTATTTCATTTGGCACGCGAGGAAACCAAGGTTTCGAGAAAGGAAGAGAGTCAGGAGTAAAGGAAGAGAGTTGCTTGTGAGTAAAGTTGAAAAAGTTGAGAAGATTCAGATGTGGGCAGCCAGGATGGTGCAGGGCCTTGGGTCCATGCCATAGGAAGATTGGTGGAAGAAATTGGGAATGTTTAGCTTGGGCCATAAGTCTTACAGGACTCTTCTGTGGAGGAGAGATAAAAGTTGTATTTGGCTTCCGAGGCTGAAGCTAGGAGCAGTGGGGGGATGTTGTAAAAAGACCATTTGGGGCTTGATGTTAGGGAAGGCTTCCTAATTATCAGAGTTATCCAAAAGTGGAACGGATGCCTTGGAAGTTGGAGGGCTCCCCTTCTTGGAGGTCTTCTAGCAGAAACTAGATGACTCCTTGTCAAGTGTGTATTGGTGGGTATTTTTTTGTCTTTTTACAGTTCTATTTTATTTTCAGTTCTGAATTCTCTCTTTTCCTCCTTCCCCTTTCCCGCTCAAGAAGGCAAGAAAAACAAAACTCATTGCAAATATTTAGAGTCATATAAGACAAATTCTTCTTGCATTAACCGTTAAAAAAAAAGATAGAAGAAAATATGCTTCTGACCTCTCTCTGGGCCCGTCACTTTCTGCCTGGGGTGGAGAGCCATTTCATCATGAGTCTTTGGGGTTGTGATTGGTCATTGTAGTGCTTAATTACTGAAGCTTTCAAGGTTGTTTGATTTTTACAGTGTTGTTATTATATGAATTGTTATCCCGGCTCTACTCACTTCCCTTTGCATTGGTTCATACAAGGCCTCCCAGGTGTTTTTGAAACCAAGGGGATTTCTTTCGGGTGTGCGTTGAGGTAATTAGCTGCCAAGGTGCCTTTCATCTCTCAAATTCTGTGATGCCGTAGCTTGAATCTAAGACCTGAGTCCACTGTTCTTATTCCATCATGCGACCTATTCATCATAAGAATCTAGTTTCCTTTTTAATGTTTGACATGGAAAGTGTTTGCATGGTGGTCACAGTGGTGAGGTGTCCTTCTCTTGGTTAATGAATACAGCGCTCACTGGTTTTTCTCTTTCCCATTTAGGAATAAATGAAATCTCGGAGGATGTTTATACAGCAGTAGAGCACAGTGATTCGGAAGATTCAGAGAAGTCGGACTCAAGTGATAGCGAGTATATCAGTGACGATGAGCAGAAAACTAAGATTGAACAGGAGGAGACAGAGGACAAGGAAAGTAGCCGGACAGACAAAGATTCAACTGCCTTGAAAAAAAAGCCTAAACCTCCCACTCCAGTGGAAATCAAAGAGGATTTAAAAAGCACATCTCCCCCCACTGAAAAATCAGACCCTCTGGTCAAAGAAAAGTCCACTACAGATCTTGAGAAGGATTTTTCAGAAAAAGTCAAGACTTTGCCCCATCCTGTGAAAGAGAAAGTTAAAGGCAAAGATGAGACAGATTCCCCTACGGTACATTTAGGTCTGGACTCTGATTCAGAGAGTGAACTTGTCATAGATCTTGGAGAAGATCACTCTGGGAAAGAGGGACGGAAGAGCAAGAAGGAGTCCAAGGAGCCACCTGCTAAACAAGAAGGTGAGTTATATCAGTCTCAGGATGTTCTAATGTGGTGTCTTGCCACCATTTTGTACCTGGGGGTTATTTAATTCAGTTTGAGTCATCAGGTATTTGGTAAATGCTGTATGCAAGGCATTGTGTTCTAGGTGCTGGGAATACTTAAAGATGAATTGTTCCCTTCCCTCAGTGAAGTGGTGCAGTGGATAGAGCATTGGCCCTTACATCAGGAAGATCTGAGTTCAAATCTGGCCTTCGACACTTACTAGCTGTGAAACAAAGGGCAAGTCATTTAACCTTTGTCTGCCTCAGTTTCCTCAACTGCAAAGTGAGAGTAGTATTAGTACCTACTTCATAGAGTTGTTGTGAGGATCAAATGAGATAATATTTATAAAATGCTTAGTATAGAGGCTGGCATATAGTAGGGGCTTAATAAATGGTTTTTCCCTTTCCCCTTTCTCCTCAAGGAGCTTATTTTCTTTTTCTTTCTTTCTTTCTTTTTTTTTGGGGGGGTGAGTCAGCGAGGTGAAGTGACTTGCACAGGGTCACACAGCTAGTAAGTGTCAAGTGTCTGAGGCCACATTTGAACTCAGGTCTTCCTGAATCCAGGGCTGGTGCTCTATCTACTGCACCACCAACTGCCTCAAGGAACTTATTTTCTAGTAGGGATAGACAGATAGAGATGAATAGATAGATAAGATGGACCATTTATTATGTGCCAGACACTGTGCTAATTGCTGGGAATACAAAAATAAAAACAAAATGGCACCTCCTTTCAAGGATCTTAAGTTCTAATACAGGAAGATAAGATATACAGAGGAGCTGAAGAGTTTGGGGGCGGGTAAGGCAGCTGGTGGAGAGGTAGAGCATCACCACTACACACTCCTCACAAAATGGCGACCTTGTCGAGGGACATGTAGGCTCACTGGCTGGTGAGGACTCAGGATGGAGTCATCCCTGAATGGGCAAGGCAGCTGGTGGGGAGGTGGAGCAGTGAGTGAGTCAAGTAGGAAGATATCATGTGTACCGAGATATTTAAATATGATGAAGAGGGGAATTCATTCAGACGTGGGGGACTACTTATTCATAAGTGTGGAGGCAGGAGACGGTATATTATGTGGAGGGGAAGGGCTCATAGGTGAGATTGACTAGAAGCGAGAGTGCATGAAGGGGAGTGTTATGAAATTAGACCAGTAAGATTAGGAGGGAGCTATATTCTGGACCCAAGCCAGGCTAATGCTGTTGTGTTTTACCTTTGAGGCAGTAGGGAGCCAGTGAAGATTTTTGAGTGGAGGATAGACTTTTGTTTTAAGAATAACAATTTGATAGCTATGTAGAGAATGGATTGGAGAGGGGAGGAGACTGGATTCTAGGAGACTACTGCACTTGTCCTGTGAGATGTTACAACTAGGGTTGAGAAAAACGGTCAGATACTCGAGATGTTTTAATGGTGGAGTTATCTCTTTCAATCCTTACACTAGCCCTGTGAAGGAGGGAAGGCAGCTCTTATCTTTATTTTTGTAGATGAGGAAATTGAGGCTCAGAATGGTTATTTTGCCTAAAGTCACACAGCTAGTCACAGAGTTACTCAAATTGTAGATCTGGAAGGGGCCTCACAGATTATGTAGCCCAACCCTGTCATTTTACTGATGGGGTAATTGAGCAAGACTGAACTCGGCCTGGAGCCCAGGCTCCATCCACCCAGCCAGAGAGGTCATCAGTTATTTTTAACCTGTATCCACAGTTTTTGTTCTGATCGCGTAGAAATTTGTCCCTTAGCAGCATTTCAATTGTTTTTGTCTGCCCTTTAACCATGTCCCCAGTCAGAGTGAATTCCCTCAGAAGTAAAGTATATAGGGCGTGTGTTCTTGTGTTGTTCCCTACCCCATATTTAAACATGTTAAGGATTTCCTTGCTGTTTGTAATTTTCAGCTGCTGTATCCTTTTCATCCTCTTAAAAATCGCTGACCTGAGGAACACCAACAAACATGAGCATTTCCATATACAAAGAACAGAAAAAGAGGATTGTGTATACAGCCATGAGTATTACATACAGCACATTTTCGAAAAGTATGGGTGTTCCAAAAATCTTAGTGCACTTTAAAGTTATATGTAGTTTAATAGCTGCTCTGTTCCCTTCTGAACTTCTTTCTTCTTTCTTGTGTATTTGAAAATTATTTTTTAACACTTTTTTTCTTCCCCTTCTTTCTTGGGGTGGTCATCACAACCCCACTCTTCCCCACTTCCCCCTTCAAAAAATGATAGCTCTCACTTGTAACAAATAAGTATAGACAAGTCCACCAAATTTACACATTGTTGGTGTCTGGAAATGTAAAACTTCACGTCCCTGTTGAGAGGTCTGAAGCTGCTTCATCATCAATCCTCACAAGTTGTGATTGGTTACTGATTCTTGGGTTTTTTGAGGTTGTTTTCCTTTACCTGATCATGGTCAATGTGTAAATTGTTCTGCAAACTTCATTGGCATCAATTCATGATAATTACGTAGAGAATGGATTGGAGAGGGGAGAGATTGGAAGCTGGGAGACCACTTAGGAGACCATCCGGCCAGATGGCACTTTGGAATACTCTTAGCAAACCTTGATGAATTTCAACATCAATTTCTTTTACTTTAGCATAGTGTCCCTGGCACACATTAAGTGCTTAATAACAGATTTATCTGTGTCTATTTATTTACTCCAAGGTACCATGCAGGGCTTGGGTTGTAAGGTAAGGGGCCTTAAGCGTGGGCCTGGAGTCCCTGGACCTTCCTCTAGAACCTTTCTGTATGGTCATAACTATTTTCATAAAAATACTAGTACATTTTAATTTTGAGTATGGCAAATACCCATAAGTAAAACCCACGTAAACAAAAGATCTTTGGTGGGAGTGGGGTGGGGTGGTCCTCAGGAATATTTAAGGGTGTAAAAGAGTCCTGAAACCATAAAGTTTGACAGCTACTGGACTAGAACACAGACTGTCTCACTTGGAAGTGACTTTGGAACGAGTTCTAGAAGCTTGAGGAGCCCTCAGAGATTGTCTTGCTCAATATCTGCCTTTTAGAGGTGTGGCCCAGAGAGGGCAAGTGATTTGCCCAAGGACACACAGATGTGCACCGTGATCTCTGACTCCAAATTTATCACTCTTTCCACTAGGCCACAGTGCTTCTTTATGTTTTTGTAAAGGCAGCTGAGACTAACCTTTAGAAGGAAGTCTGGATGACTGAGTAGATATTGGGGCAGAATAATGTGAAGAGGCTTGTTAAAAAAGGAGTGCTGTGATTTTTGGTATGATAAACTGAGTTCAGTGACAGCTGGTGTCGTTCTAGGGAATTGATGGAGGAGGTACTAAGTCACTGGTTGATGATGATGAAAATGATTTTTACACACCACCGCCACTACTACCATCCACTTACATAACACCAACACCAAACACATATACATCATCCCCCATTTATATAGCACCAATAATACCAGCAGCACCTAACATTTATGTAACACCAGTTCTGGCCAGAACTTCTAAGGGTCTTCCCCTCCCAGATTTTTTGTTTGTGTGTGTGTGTGTGTGTGTGTGTGTGTGTGTGTGTGTGTGTGTGCTGGTAAATTGGGCCATCTTTTGCCTCAATTCGTACCCAGACACTTACTTTAGAAAGACCAAGGTCACCCATTGCATTCTGGACCATTGCCTTTTGTCCTGCCACTGGACTTCTGTGAGTCTGGAGGAGAGAGGCTGACAACTTTTCACATCTCTGCCTCACTTAAATCCAGTTCACGTGCAAGTCAAAACATCACCCTCGTGATGTCATTGTTCTCTCTGAGAATAAGGGACAGACAACACCACACCTAACATTTAAATAATAATAGCAGCTAGCATTTATATACCATCTAACATTTTAAAAAACAACACCTAACATTTATGCACCACCACCACCTAATATTTATATGACAACAACAACGTCAACACCTAACATTAAAACAGTCCTTTAAGGTTTTGCTTGAGGTAGCATTTCATAGTGGATAGAGATTGAAGTTTGGAGCCAGAAAGACTGGCGGGAGGGGGGTGGTGGTGGTGAGAGGCCACAAAGTCACTTATCAGTTCTCTAGACCAGAAATGTCAAATATGATGGGCTGCATACAGCCCACAGTACTCCCAAGTGAGGGTAGAACTAGATTAAAATGAAATTGGGAAATATTTAAAAAATAAATAAAAATATAATAAAACATAGCTAATGTTACATTTTAAAACTAAGTCAGTATGTGGCCTGGTTGGTAGAAAAAGTTTCTACTTCTGGGAGAGTCCCCTATCAATGAAATCACAGGTCTGGTCTCTGTCCTTTTAAGGTGTCACATCTGAGTTCCATAACAATTCTGTGGAGTATAGATATGATGGAGATTATTTTCTCCATTTTTCAGATGAAGGGATGGCTCTTTGCTCACCCTGACCAAGCCTTGCCCTGGGAATTGCTCTGTGCCTGAATTGAGGAGAGTAGGCCCGATCTAGTGTGGCCAATAAGTGGTGTAGGACATAAGTCTCTATAGGAAGAAGATGGAAGGGAAGGAGAGGGTTGTAGGCATATGCCAACCTTTGGTCATCTTGTGTGCCTCTCTGTGAATGGTCAGCACATCCAGTGAGGGGATTGGAAAGAATAGGAATGTTTTCACTGTTGGAGGCCAGTCTTTTTTAAGACTCTTTGTTTTCTAAGATGAAGAATATGATTTTAAAAAATGCAACTTGTAAAACACAAAAGGAATTTGAACCAAATTTTATTGTACTAGGCAACTGATGAACTTTGTTTACCAAATTCATTATAAGAATAATAACAAGAAATTCAGAATTCCATGGTAGATAGATAACTGGCTTTGGAGTCAGGAAGAGCTGGGTTCAGGTTCAGCCTCTGACATGCTGGCTTGTGTGACTCTGGCCCAGTCACTTAACTGCCCAGTGACCCAGGCCATTCTCTAATAATAAATTGCAGAGCAGCTACTGATTTGTGTTGGTAAAGGAAGTTCCTTCACCTAGAGTTC